GTCTACTTCTCCCACCAGGGTATAGGATGGCATGCAAGTTTCCACAAACGGGTTGTCGAGACTCAAATGCTGCGCATAATCTGGTTGGTCCAGGTATTGGTGCATCTGCCTCATCTGTCGAACCCGATCGTGCAGCTTTTCTAAGCTCCAGAGGTGGACAACACTGTGCTTGTAGTCGATGACACGAATGCCAATACAAGGCTTCTGGGCCTCCTCCAGCGCCGCATCCTCACCCTCGCCAGTCAGCCCGTTGAGGACCATGTCGTAAGATGAGCAGAGTGCGTGTCCTATATCTACAACAGTAAATTGGAACACAACACTCTCGTCAAGCTCATTGCTCATAATTTGAGCCTCCTTCAACACTGCAGCATTCTGTAGCACAGCTTCAGCCATTTTGACAAAGTGACGGCCGCGCCAGACTTTGATGGCCTTTTTTGCTTGCTCAATCTCTTTGTCAGAAAGCTTTGGATTCGCCTTGGGCCGCTTGAGGGGGTCCATCTTGTCAATCCTCTCCTCGTACTGTTTCTTTTGCAGGTTGAGTTGTTTTTGCATATCTTCCTTCAGCTCTAGAAGAGCGGCCTCCATCTTGGCTTTCTCCTTTCTAATCTCTTCAACCTCGACGTTGGCAGATTCTGCGCTCTTCAACTTTTCTTGGAACTCCTCTTTTTGTTTCTCCAATTGGTTTTGCATTTCCTCTCGAGCTTCCTTCAAACGATCATCCTGTTCTCCCTGCTTTGGCGTTGATGGCATTGTCAATACTGTATCGAGCGAAAAGTTGTCGATGGTTCCGGTGGACATGTATTTTTCGCGCATCTGGTAAGAAGTGACGGACTCGGTGTCCTCGCCATCTTCTCGACCATTGACACGTTCGGCGCGGGCCCTCTGTACTTCCTCAAACAACGCGTTGAGCTCTTCATCCGTTAGACTGGCAAAATTCTGGTCGGTGCCAAGGATAGCACCAGCCGCCTCTCGTCGAGCGAGAGACCAGTCCGAGTCCCTGCCATTTCGCAAAAAAGGAGCCGGTGATCCTGGCCGAGAGTCACCAATGTCCGAAACCTTACTCATTGACCTCTCATGACCCGGCCGAGGAGAGGGCGTGCGATCCAAGGCTTGCAACTGACTAGCCGTGATCGACTGCCGCAGCAGGCTTTGCCCAACTTCTGCCCTTTCCGCTCTCGCCTCCATGGGATGATTAAATCGAAAGATGTGGAAATCGCCTAAAATGACCCGATAACCAGAGTGAAGCTGCTTAGGCTCTGTTATCCGCTTGCCATTGACCATGACTGATGCCCCTTCTGAAGGAAGTACAGTAACGGTCCCATCAGCATTATTTTCGAATTTACAGTGATCATGGAGGATTCTTGTTCCGTTTAGTCGAATGTTGGCCTGATGATCAGCGTTTGTGTCGACGTTGCCAACGGTCGTGGTTCCAGGCTTGAGATTGTAAACAAGACATTCGGCAAGAAGAGGGTCGTCTGACAAGTTGACCAGATGTGGCATTTTCTTCGGTGTATGCAAACCGATAAAGCCCTTCTCAATGCTGATACCAAGCTCTTCCAAGGCAGCCTCTCGTTCCTTGTGAATTTCTTCTGTCTTCTGGAGCTTCTGCTCCCATGTCTGGTTCAGATCAGAGAGAAGTTTCTCGCTTTGGTTGAGCTGTTCAGCAATCTCCGCCTTGGATACTTTCTTGACAAAACCTTCAGAAGTGGTGATGGATACCATCTGCTGCTCCAAAGGCGTGCCCTCTGCATAAACTGGTTCTCCCGGAACTGCTGCTTGACCTGACCCAACCACGCTACCGCCAAGCTTGCTTCTCAGCAAGGCTAATTCTTCCTTCAATTCCCGGATCATACGGGCATTGGCATCTTCATTGACAACGGCGTGGTTCTTGATTCTCTTGGCTGAGTCGGCGTATCGCAGAGTGCTGAGGGTTTCGTCGTAATTGATGTCGGCAGGACTGATGGCTGCTATCATTGCCGTCATGCTGTTTCCGCCCAAAGAGTCCTTCAGCAACCATGTTAAAACACTGTCTCGGTAAGGGACTTGAGTTGCGCCTTTCTTCTTCTTTCCGGTCGACAAATCCGCCAGCGCAGCAATGACCCGACCAAGTGTTGATAGTGACCGGTTGATTTCGGCGCCTTCTTTCAATCGAGCACCGGTGGCGCCTGTAGAGGTTGCACGTTCAGAACCCGCCAAGTCAACCAGGCTAATCTTGGCGACCTTTTCCATTTCCATCTTGGTCTCTGCATCATATTTTTTCTGGGTGAGCATCAAGGTGAAGACTGCATGACTTCGACTGGATGTTTCGTTCATGTTTGTGGCAGCAACTGTTCTAGCCTTGTTTCCCTCGTCCATCAGATTCTCAATTTCTTGAAAGCTCCCAACGACGAGTTTTGCCAGATCCTCTACGTATGGACCTGTCGATGGATGTTCTCGAACTTTCAGGTTGCCTTTTGTTGCCGGATTAAGCAGATCCCGCACGCGTTCGTTATAGATTTCGAGGTAGGAGACTTCGACTGTACATTTAGTCGCCTTGTCCGCTTGAATGGCGTCTATGCGGTTAAACATTTCTTGGCAAATGTTGGGAATGATGCCAACTTCCTTCCCATAGCCCATCATGGAGTAGGATTTCCCTGAACCGGTTTGACCGTAGGCAAAGATACAATTGTTGTAGCCTTGGAAAGCATTGTCGAGAAGCGGTGCTCCAAGGTCATCAAAGAGGTTCGACTGGCCAGCATAATTCGAGTCCTCCTTGTTGAAGGACCAATATGATCGATCGAAAGCAAAAGTCTTGGCTCCAGTATCCTTTGCGCCCTTGCCGCCATGTCCATCTGGGGTGGTAAGGACGGTCTGGTTCTCCTTCATTTCGACGATGCATTTCGAACCTCGGTCGATTTCTAGGCGCGAGTAAGTACCTCATGCAATGGCCAGGCAGCCTTCTGTCCAAAAGACAGCGGGAAAAGCATGCGGGTTTGCGTTGAGTCTACCTACCTCTGCCGTTGAACGGACGCACTCTCACCACCACCTTGATATTCCCACCACCTGCAGGCGCCATGGCTGCTGAATTGCCTGCGGGGACCTGGGCTGGTCCCCTAATGACCGAGGGTCTCTGTACAGAATGCGCCTAGCTGGATTGCTTCACGAGGTACGGATTAGGGGGCCTTGTCCGGAAACCACGCCAATCGAGTAGAAGATGTACATGTGCGATCTCGAAAGCTGAATCACCATCAAAGACTGGGGTGCATGCTATTTGTCATGCGCTGAGGAACGAGCCTGCGGGTGGCTGCAGAGCTGCGGCAGGTTTGGGGAGTTTGCGAAGCTGGCACACAGTCAGGGGACGGAATGACGACACAATTGGGGACGGCCGTCTCGAACACTCGACTTCTGCGAGGGGTCGTGGCTCGCGAGAACACGTCCGGGCTTTGGCCGTGATGCTGCGGGTTGTCGCAGGTATTTGCAGCGACTCGTATGTCGTACAGAAAATCGTAACGTCGTCAAGGTTCGCCGGAAAAAAACAAGTCGTGGCTGTGGGACGGCGATGTTTCCGGACTGTTGCCAACAGGTGAGACGCGGTCCAGTCGGTCGGTCGCGCGCACAGTTGAGCTGTCATTGAGTGCCATGACAGGCTGACAGGCGGAAGGGTTCACGTGCATCCACCGTTGTACAACCCACTGTAGCTTCGGAAGGAAGGAACAGGGGCTTCTGCACCTGCCCAAACCGCATCAGTTGGCGCCCGCGTCCAGGTACTTGGACATCAATTGATCCGTTGACCTCACAAATGGCTCATCTACGTACTATTGAAAACGGCGATGCCTAGTATTAGAATGGGTCACACAGCATAAACAATCAAACGGACGTCTCAAGTTTATTTTTTTTTTCTGGGTTCCACTCACTTTGAGACCGTGGGCATCCCAAGTCATGTCTCGTGTCACTCGAGCGCCAAAGAGCCGAGGATTGACTTTTCAAAATCAAACCATGAAAATTATGAACAGATCACTCGAGAAAGACGTATTGCGTCCCTACCCGCAAGGCCCAAATATTGGTCTTGAATCGATGCTCGAACTGTGAACCCAAGCATCAATCTCTCCTCTGATTATATCCGCACCACACACGACGCGTTATCATCCAAACCTCACCAGCCCGGCCCACCCCGGCTTTTTGAAAATAAAAGTTAAAAAAATAAAAATAAAAATAAAAATAAAACAAAACGAAACATCAGTGCCATAAGGCTAACTATAATAAGCCATCCCCAACCTCTCTCTCATACTGCTGAACATCCAACGGCCCCGTTGACCAGACCATCAAAGCCTGCACGTGTGCACCTACGCTCTGTGTGGTTTCGGCATCACACGCTGGACCATCAATGACATAGCCTATTATGTTGAGCCATTCTCCCACACGCGCCAGGCCAGGCTGAAGGGTCTCTAGCACCAGCTCAATATTGACTGATACCAAAACGTTGGTGTCTTTGGGATACACGTGGCCGAGTGTCAAACATGCCGTCCCGGTGTTGTATGCCGTGACACTGAACAATTCCAACCATCAGCCATGCATCTTCTTTTGGTCGTGGGTTTGTCCGAGGGGGTCTCACCATCCGAGGAACCTGACCTTTTCGCCGATCCTTTGGTCAGACAGAGAAGATAGCAAGCAGAGCGTAGACGCGCCAGGTCCACGGGACATGTTGCTGTGCTTGGGAATTGTAAGAATTCATGCCGGCGCGACCACCGTGGCCGTCACTGCGGCGTTCTCCCGTCCCGTACCGGAATACTGGTCTCTGATGCTGGACGAACGTGAATGAATTTGATCCAGGATAAGCTGTCAAGGGAAGTGGGTCAACATGCCAATGGTCAACCCTCCCAACTTTCAAGTTTCCCCCCACCACATGTATTTATTGACTCTCTCGCTACTGCTAGGTACTTTAGGTAGCCTGTCTCCCCGGATCCCATGAGCATGTCGGAGCTTGCCTCAATTCTACGCATACATCCCCAATTCTAGCAAAGATGTCGGCCGAGTCGCCCCCGAAATACGTCTACAAAATCGTCCCAACTGCCCCGCCCGAGCCTATCCCCCAGGAATATCCCCTCTCTGACCTCGACAAGCAAGATGGTTTCATCCACCTGAGCACCGGCCAACAGGTACGGCACACCACCCAAAACCGGGCTCGAGTTTGCTCTTCCTTACCACTTTCCAGATCCCCCTTACTTGCGACAGATTTTTCTCGGCCACATCCGCCCTGTGGGTGCTCAAGTTCCAGCTAGACCAGTTTGCAGACCCCATCAAGTGGGAGGGCGGTTTCCCCCATCTATACGGCAATTTCGGCGCAAAGAATGTCCTCGCCGTGCAAAAGTTTGATAGGGATGATGGGAAGACGTGGGCTGAGATTATGAGCACTTCCACTTGGCTTGAGTAGACAAATTGAGAATTGGAGCTTCTACGCCTTCCCCCCTTTTGATTCTTTTTCCAATTTTTATTTTTCGCATTAATGCTGTTCTTCTTCCGGGGTTGTTTCTTCAAAATATCTAACTGTGAATGCCCAAATCCTTCTCAACCATGCCCCTACAGATTGGGTGATAAAATTCCTTATTCTTCTCAAACGTCTCCAGAGCTAATTTGCGGTTCACCTTGTTCAGGCCTCGGAACAGAGGGCGGACGAATTTCATGCGGCCTACGGAGCCCAGCAGCTCAGCGACGCCATACACGCACGTAGGGTCGTTGGCGTCCAGGGCAACGCGGTAGTACGAGGACTTGAGCTCGACATTCTTGGAAGTGATGAAGTCGTACATCTTTCCGAGCAGCTGGGCACGCTCGGCAGAGAGGGGCCCGGATTCTTGAAGCTTGTCGAGGAAGACGATTTTTTGGTTGGCCGTGAAAGATGAGACGTCTTCTGGTTTGGGTTCGAATGACTGGCGCCTGTCAGCATGCTTCGAATTTCGATCCACGTGAGATTGAAGAGTTGAACCCACAACATCCTTCCACTTGGTGGCCAGCTCGTAGCAAGCAGTCACCATGGTCAGGTCAAAGTCTGGCTTGGGAGGCAGACCAGGGGTGTAGAAGCGACCGTCCCAGTCGATGGTGGCAATCTTCTGCTTGATAGCCTCGTCACCTAGACTGTTGAAGAAGTCCATAAAGGTGTCCCGGAACTCGAAAGAGTCGAGAGACTTGCCGGACCACGTGGCAAAGTAGTGAGGGATGAATTTGTCAAAGGCTTCGCGGCCGACGAGTCGGTCGAGATAGTACAGGAAGTGGAAGCCCTTTTCATAAGCGATGGTGCTGTAGACGTCCTCGGGATCGACATTCTTGTGGCTGATTATGAGCTTGGTGTACTCGTGGTCTTTGCCGAAGAGCTCGACCGAGTCCTCTGTCTAGGGTTAGTCTTACCCTCTGCCGATACGGGCAAACTCTGATATGGACACGCACCAAGAGCCTTCCAGCCAATGATTGAAGAAAAGTCAAACTCGGCTTCACCGTGGATGGCTGACTGGATTCTGCGCTCAAGGTAGACAGTCCATCCTTCGTTGAGCCAGCTGTGTGAGATTGACAGTTAGCACAAAGCCGTCGGTGCCGGACTTAATATCACGAGGCGAGGCAAGGCGACTTACAAGTGCTCCCAGCTTGCGTTGGAAACCAGGTTACCACTCCAGCTGTGGCTCAGCTCGTGGGCAATGACATCCACATTCTGACGGTCACCACTGATGATGGTAGGGGTAGCAAATGTGTAAATGGGGTTCTCCATGCCTGGCAAGTGTTGTCAGCAAAGGCGATTTCGCTACCAAGTGTATAACTGGGCGACACGGGACTCACCTCCGTAGGGAAAGCTGGGAGGCAGAACAAGAACATTGTACTCTCCCCACTTGTAAGGAAAGACGAGCTTTTCAGCAACCTCCATAAACTTGTCCATGTCCCGCTCCAGCTCCCACCTGCACTCATCCAAATCGTTAGGTCCTGTAACAACCACGCTTCTCGAGCCAATCTTGGCGGATACAATATCACCAGAGGCAACGGCGAACAAGTACGACGGGATGGGAACTTTTTGCTCAAACTCGTATGTCTTCTCGGTGCCCACGGCCGGGGTGTGGTCTCCAACAGGAACACCACTAGCCACGACAGGCAATGAAGAAGTGAGCTTGAACGTGAAGCTAGACTTGACATCCGGAGTGTCCTGGCAAGGGAAGATGGACCGGGCATTGATGGCCTGGCATTGCGAGAACATGTAAGGGTGCTTCTTGTTGGACGTCTGAGCAGGGGTGAGCCATTGCAAAGCAGTGCATTTTGCCGTCGTCTCCAGATCTATGGCAACATTGATGACGTCTCCCTTGGCGGCGCCCTCGGGAACAGAAATGCGGAGAGGAGCGCCAAAGGGGTCGCTGTGAGGCTTCAGCTCCCACTCGGTCTCGGCCGAGTTGACATTGACGCCCTGGACGTTGATGAACCTGGTGTCGAGAATGACCTCGTTGCTCCCCTTATCGGTCTGGCTTTCGAGCTGCAGCGTGGCGGTGCCCTTGAGGAGCTTCTGGTCAAAGTCCAGCTTGAAGTTGACGGTGGTGTGCTTGGTGCGCCAAGCCGAGTAGTTGGACAGAGTGGTGGGATCGCGGTTGGCCATGGTGGTGACTGTTGCGAATCCGCGACGGAGGAGACTGGATGAAGCTGGTAGTAATGACTCGGATAATGGAACAAGACGAGGTCTTTTGAAGATGGAAAGCCACGACATGTGTTCTACGGGAAAACGCTCCTCTTGGATTTCTCATACGGTACGGCGGCCCGGCACGCTTTGCCAAAGGGCTGCTGCTGTTACCTTACATTCTTGTTTTAGGCCGTCACGTGTGGGTCACTAACAGCTGCCCCCGTGAGTAGTTTGTGACCTGTATCCATCGATTGATAATTGGCTTGGACATGGGATTGCGTCTAGTAGCTATAGACGCGGCATTCGCATGCCCGTTGATAAACAAAAGTTCCTGCGAAAAGCCCTATTGAACGGCGGCATTGGTCAATCCAGTCCAGATTTGATCAATTATTTTTTTTTCATTTTTATTTTTTTAATTAGGGCTCACTGTCAGTCAGTCGCATCGGGTACTCGGTACGTCGGTCAGAACCAAGAAAAGGCCCCGCACCCGAAGCTAAGCGCCCTCTTCGATCAAAAGTCCCAATGCCTTTGAGCGGCAGAAACAGAATGATATCAAAATGTGCGTTGCAAATTCAACCATAAAGAATAAAGGGCTCATTTTTTGCCGCCATTAGTCAATCCTAATCTCGATGCTCTTACTCATGAAATCGCCCTCGAAGGCATCAGGCTGAGAAGCCATAGTCTCCAAATCGTCCGTCGAAATCTTGTCCTTGGCCCTCGCAAACACACCCATCCAACGTCCTTGGACGAACACGGTCGCCTTCTTCCCCAACTTGCCCATAGGGACTTCCGGCTTCTTGAGCACCAAGTCGTTGGTCGCGCTGGCCCCGGGCTCCAATTCCACCAGCGAATCGGGGTCTGGCGGCCAGAGCCTCGACGCCTGGATGGTCCGCAATTTCAGTGGCTCTGCTGCGCCGTCGGGGGTGATGCTCAGTAAATCGAGGGCCAAGGCGACAGAATCCAGCGGCGAGCTGTACGTGATGATGGTAAATGGACGGTCGCTTTCATTGGTGGTTGTCACGCGCACGGTGGGAGGCGAGGTGTTCGTCTGACTGAGGCTGAGCGTTAGTCGGTCGAGGGGATTTGCTTCTGCAGCCATTTTGAGAGGCGTGATTGCTGCCGAGGAGTAGAGTGTGCGTCTTGTTGGCAACGCGACGTACGCGATGGCGAGCGACACGGCAAGAATGATGAGAACGATGCCGCGGACAACTGCCATCCAGACGATTTGTTTTGTTTGAGTCCGGAGGGGTGGTTCTGTTGCAAGATGATATATTAATGTTGCAGCCTGTTTCAAAATCTCGACGTCGTCATTTGAAGTGGGGAGTTTCTTCAGAATTCATGCAAAAGGACCGACCTGCCCTTTTTGGGAGCCTGAACAGTACATCAATTTGAACAGAGGATGGTCGATAATGAAGATGGGCCATGGCTGAGGGAGAAATAATGAGCGCCAGTCACGGCGTTGGCGTTTGGATCAACATTGGGTTGACGTCGGCCTTCAAGTTTGCTCGGTCAAAACGCGGCTGCAAATCCGCCGAATCTGGCCATGTTGCGTTGCGCACGCGCCAACTTTTGAAATTGTTCCCTGCTTATCCAGTTACTACTTTTGCTAGGAACGCTCATTCGGCACAAAGAGGAAAAAAACTCACACTTGTTTGACGGCAATTGCTCCTCCAGTATGGCCTTGGACTCTTGCCACAAGCCTCGCCACCCAACACGCAAGAAGCAGATCCAAGTCCTTTGCCTTAAGCGGCACCTCGACGCTCAGCTGGGCCAGTCCAGTCAAGCTCCCATCTGCGCGGCTCTTGGGTCGTGCCTCGAGTGCCACCGTTGTGTCATCCGGGCTCTTCCACACGATTTGGCCCCTGGCTGCGTGTAGTTCGCTTGATGGGCTGCCCGTAACTTGTTGATAGCTTGGTGGATGTTGCGTCGACATCTGAGAGAAAATCAAGCCTCCGATTTTCAGATTCGGACCAGACTGCTTTGGCTGGCCCTTTGGCTTGACGGCCGCGGTCAATGGTGCCTTTTATTCAAATGTTGGCCATGGCCAGGGCCCCAGACCCCATGGCGCAATGAGGACATGACACAGCCACCCAGCCGTGATATATTGACGGACCAGAACCGGTGCGATGCGATGATATGTGATACTTTCACATCTACGGCAATAATCTCGTAGGCGTCTGCAATTTTTGCTCTCTGGCTTAATTGGAATATTTCTGATAGTCGTCGATTGATTTGGAGACGTGATGGCGGTGTCACAATTGTCTCAAATGAAGCTCCAAAATGAGCCTCTGATAACTTTTTGCTGTGACCGATTTACTGTCTAAAGTCTAAAGTCTTGTGAGAATGCTTCAAGTTCTCAAAAAGAGGCACTCTGACCATCTCCCAGCCTCAGACTCGGCCCTCAACACGTTGTACCATAAAGGATTGCTATTCGCGTTGTCCTACTATCACAGCCTCAACACCAATTACATTAACAGTGTCACTAGCCTTCAAACCACCTACCGTAACAAACGACAGTTTCTCCAGGCGGTATTACACTCTACAAGCTCCGCCGAGTGAAGAAGGGACTATAAAGTAGCTTAGCTGCCCAGTATCCTTTCTGCACATGGCACAAAGGCCGAGCATAAGAAAAAATATTGCAATAGAACTTTGAAAACAGCCTCCAGTGTCAACAGATCTCACAGCTCGAGCCGCGCTTCTACGAGAGCTAATCTTCTCGGCTGGCAGCCAGCATGGGAGATGATGAGACTACAGTTGAACGGAAATGCGGAGAATAAGCTTAGATCGTTTCCAAGATGTTTGTAAACGACAGCATCATCTTGGACGCCTTCAGGAAAAAAAAGACGGGGTCGAGCACAACGTTCAAAGTAGCCATAACGCACGCAAAATGAAAGTCTGGCGATACGAAACTAGACAAAACTCTAGAAATATAGTTACGAGACAGAAGTACAGCCTTTCTTCTAGAGATTCTTGTCACATGGGTATGATATAATAGAAGAGCCAAACGACTCTAAAAATATCACCTATATCACCCATGGCGGCACTTCGTATACTAGCCGCAACTGACTCCTCTGACGAGAACCAAGGCTGAATTTCTCTTCTTCTAGAGGACCAGCTCGTGATGGAAAACTGGAGGCATCCGAGTCTTGTGTTTTGTGATTGGGCTCTACAAAAGATACGCAGCACTCGCTTCCGAGCGCAGCTGAGACAGTGAGACTCCTGCCATGGTCAAGGCGTAGAGCGCAGACAACCATGTCCACGACATTGACCCTCCAAAGGTCGACCAGTCTCAGAAGGGTGTAAGCTTCCGCTCATTCATAAAACAGTTGGTCATTGTTTGGTGCAAAGTGGCAGTCATGGCTCTTAGAGAGGAGAGAATAGAGAATATCAGCACGCCGACCACCCGACGTTGGCGGCTGACAAGTCATATTGCCAAGGCAAATGGCGGGTATTACTCCGTAACACACCGCCGTGTTGAGCCTGGAGATATCAAAGCATCCTTGCCATCTCTCTCCAATAGATTGGACCACCACGCCTTGGACAAACCTGCAGCGACAGCTGAAACGCCAATATTGAAGACCAGTACCAGTGTGAATTGGGGAAGATCTGCCCAGTTATAAATAAGTGAAATGCAATGGTGAGAATAAAAAAATGAAATACGAGACAGCTTTTGACATCTGATAGGTGGACGTGTACCGAGAGGCTTAAGCCACCACGTAGCCCGCATACTATGGCATAGGGCTGTATAGGCGAAGCCAAATCCCGAGCTTGACAACTTTATCCGTGTGCTTAAGGGTATTTTCACCAAATCATCTCCATTAGACGCAAGCGTGAAACCGCACAGTGGTGCAAAAAAACAACAACAACGACGACTCTTCACGTCGCTAGCCTTGATCAAGTGCTCAGTCCAGACAAACACAACCTGCCATCTTGCCTTCCGAGACGGCTCCCTCAATGTCCAATCATGTTCCTGGCCATTGTTTCATCGGGGGCTTGATCGCCCTCAGGGGTTTATTGATTTCTGGTAACCTGGGCTGTTGTGGCTGAAAGAAGCTCGGTCAACGGAATGTGCCGACTCGTCGTTTCTTCTTTCGGCAGACGTACGCCTGGGGAAAGGGAAAGCCCATCAGCAGCCATTTACCACGAAATACGAAGCCTATTGCGGTCGAGACGCTTCTGCATTGCGTCACTTAGTCACCCGATGAAAGTGGTTGGTTTAGCCCGCACCATGAATTTGCCCAGCTGAACTTCAGCTTTTGCATCCAAACGCAGGAATCCGCCCTTGGCCGCTTCAGGTACCAATATTGTCTACTGGGTGATTTTAGGCATACGTTTGTATTACTGAGCCTTGTGCAAGTCACGTATGACAATGCTGTATACTACGTCAGAAACATTGCCATGCTGGACAGGGGTCCGCGCGCGCTGCTCTGATGGATGGTGCAGTGATGGCTTCGTTTTCTTCTTTTCTTTTCTTTTTTCTTTTCTTTGGTGTTGGGCTCTCGAGGTGAGAAACGCCGCCGCGCCCTACACAAGGCAGGCATGGCGGTCAAGTTGAGGTGCGTCTGTTTCCGTTTGTGGTTGGATGTCCGTCATCAAGCCCTTTCTCGTAATCAACAAATCCACGCCCAGACGCTCTCCGTGGAGGAAAGGAGGCATGAAGCGGCTGACCGCAGTGTTGGTTCTTGTGGGCTTATTGGAGACACGGTGCTTGGATTCACACAACCACCGTGACAGTACGAGACCTCAGCTGCAAAAGAAGGGGGGGCTAGGAGCCAAGACATTCCCATCCATCGTTCCGAGGAAACGGATATGTAGATGGGTATATAAAGGGCTGCTATCCTCTCAGATACTCCTACGAGAAGACTCATCATCACTCAGATATACACCATCAGGACATCTCCAGATCAAGAACTCGCTCTTCATCACACCATCAACCATTTCGTATTTTGAATTCTGTATTTCAAAAATGCTTCTTCTCGGACTCCTCACCCCACTCCTCGGCCTTGCGGCCGCTGCTCCCAACCCCAACAGTCCCTCCAAGGTCAAGATCCACGGAGTGAGCCTCCTTGGAACCGGCTGCCCTGCTGGCACCGCCGATGTCCAAGTCGATGCCACTGGGACGCTCTTCGAGGCCACCTTCTCCGCATACGAGGTGCAGACTGGCCCTGGTACCAAGGCCGCTGACTGGCGAAAGAACTGCAAGCTCACTCTGAACATGGAGTTTGATTCCGGATTCCAGTACGTCAGCTCTCAACTGTGTGAAAAGCCCTGTCCCCCGCTAACAAGTATAAAGGTTCTCCATTCTCGACACCGACATGATTGGATTTGCCGAGATACCCCAGAGTGCCAATGGCCAGTGCAGCAACGTCTTCTCCTTCACCGGAAACCCCCAGACGGTCACCTATGCCATCAAGCTTCCCGGACACTTCAGCGGCGACTTTGACCTCAAGTCCCGCGCTGGCATCGAGTCTTGGTCGCCTTGCGGTGGCAGCACTGCTATTCTCAACATGAACACGGCTTGCGCCATCACCCCAACCCACCTCCCTGCCCTCATTGCCGTAAGTCCAAGCCTTGCTGTGTGACAAGCCGTAGTTGATGGGATTGAATACTAAAGCCATCAAAACAGGTCGACCACATCAGCGGCAAGCTCAGAGTCAAGTTCGCCGTCCAGTGGCGCAGATGCCACAAGTAAGTCGTTGCACTTGCTGCCTCGACTCCCCTTATCCGCGACAAAAGTTGCATTTTCACAGGAAGGAAGTCTTGACAAGACTTTTAGATATCTTGAATTCCTGGAGAAGCCTAGAGATTGGGGACCTTGGCCAACAAAGAGTTTGGATGTTTGTACACGGTTGATTGGTTTATCGGCTCACGGACGCGCTTCCTGTCACTCATTTAGATGCTCGGAGAGTTTTACCACGGAGAAAATACAGAAAATATTGGCTGGATTCATTGTACCAATCGTGCTTTGACTTTTGTGGCTTTGCACAGTGACCACATGTAGCTAGGAATAAGCCCACGGCTTCACGACACACAACCACGTTTCGCGTCAGCCACAGCCTGGTAAGCAATATTCTTGCATTGACGGATTTGCGCCCCCCCCAATGGCCCCCTGTGGCCCCCAAGCCAGCTGAAAAACAAGATGGTGTTGTCAGTCACCCGATGGTCGTGTTTCGTATATTGAGATGGCCTCGTTCTGTTGGGTGTCACCAACTGACACGAGTCCTCGCTGCTCACCATGACTAGGTCGATCGTATATAGGTAAAAATAAAACGTGATCAAGACAGAAGAGGGCAGTTAAGGCACGGCGGCTGACGGATATTGAAACGATTCTGTACGTAATTCCTGGCAGCTGAGTTATACATGCAGCGTCGTCCCTTGTTTCGGAGAATAACTTGGCCGGCCATCTCGGCATCACTGATTGAGCTTTGTAACTTTTGACGATCAGAAGGGCAGACGTGATACCTGATGCATGGAGTATTTCTTACAAACATGCCAACGTGTCCTTGCTCATTCTGCCACTCGCCGGGCTATTAGTCTTTGGCCCGAGCAGTCTGGATATCTATTCCGTGGTCGTATTATGTGGCGAATTTCATTTTTAAGTTGGTTTTGTTTACAAATTTCACATATTTCTGTGGGAGTATAACCACCGCTGCCAACGGGGGGACGGTCAATCCTTCGCGAAACTATTCCGCAAATCAAGCACAAAGCCCAACTGACTTTGCGGTGCTGTATGGAACATTTTTTTCAAAACTCTTGTACGGAAGGAAATATCTAAAACAACCCTAGTGCTCACAGAAATTAAAAGTAGCCTTCTCATAGTCCTGATTCGTCTGGGTCTGCAAAGCAGATCGTTCCTGCATAAGCTCTGCCCGGATTCGCACAGCCTCTGCCCAGCCTATGACATCGGTTGCCGCGTCATTTGAAGACAATGCCTCTTGTGTTCCCGGACCACCCCTCCAGTGAGGTTGTTGAGGAGGCACCTGCGCCGTAGAAATGATTGGGATAGCCGGGTCTACCAGGAATAGAGCCAAAATCTTCCGATGACCGGGGCGTGCTGGATCGGCCAGAGAAAACGGCTGGACTTGATGCTGGTAGAGGTTTGGAAAGAAAACAGCGCGGCCGCTTCTAGTGAGTACTGATCCGATGTCTTGCACGGTACTGTCATGCGGCGGCGTAGGATCTATGGCGAAGGTGCGGGCTATTGACCTGTAATCGGATTGCCGGTAGTCCAACCCGGTATCAAGCTCCTCGCGGTTCGACCTTGTTCGGAATGCGAGACGAGATTCTGTGATATTCTCATTGTCGTAGTAGAAGAGAGCGGTGCCGCAAATGTGCTCGTTCAGCTGTCCCTCGATATGCCACGAGCCGCCGTCGTAGGTGGGATTCTTGGGCGTTAGATGAATGTTGGCCAGCTTCACAATGACCTGGATACGAGACTTGCCATTGAAGAATTGCGACGACCTGACGTCTTGCGGCGTCAGGTGGAAGCATCGATCGGGTTTCGGGTTCTGTTCGGGCACGGCATCTGGCAAGATGACCTTGTGAGTCCTGTCAAACCACTCGGTGTCTAATTGATCGCGAACAGAATTGTTCTCGGAGCCCACGGTAGAAGTAGAAGAAGAAGAAGAAGAAGGAGAAAGAGAAGCCTCATCGTCTTCCCGAGGGCGCTCGCCTTCATTGAGAGGCCTGTTCGACGGGTCGCATTCGTGCTGGCATATGTCGGGCGTCGTACAGTTCGGACCAACTCTTTCTGCTACCAATCGTTGAAAGCTGAATTCGTCTGGCCAGCGGTATATAATGTCCCACGCCGGAAGCGATTGTTCGATGAATCCACCAATTATACTGTACAGTTCGGCATGTTCAGAGGGGTGCAGATTGTTAATGTAGCTGTCAATCGTAGCATGCCCGTCTGCATCAACCACTACATCGCACGGCAGCCACTGAAAGTTGAGAGACAAGGACGGGATCGACAAACCGTCCTGTCCATATGGCCAGCGCTGCTTCATCACCAGTTCAGCGCTCGTTGGCTTGGATAGAACACTCCCTTGCCCGCAGGAGCTAATGCAATCCTGAACATTGCAGGTCTTGTCGGCGAGAATGCGCGTGCGTCCGTACACTAAAGGCCATAGGGATGGATGAACAAGGTCAAGGACCTTGCCGTCGCTGCCAGGGTGCCAGTCTTTTTGGTCTTCGGGAACATTCTCCAGGGGCATCACAGCCCCCTTGAGCTTGCCGAATAAGTCTGCCGCGATAGTATCGGACTTGACAACGCAGGCCGAGTAATCGAAAACCGGAACCAGACCCGTTTTCTCATACAACTCGGCCTTCTTTTGCATCTCAGCGATGCACTGTAGCAGCTCAAGGTTAGCACAAGTACATTTGCTCCTCTGTTTTCGTGACATACCGCATCCGCCATGGCAGTTGTAAAATCAGCATATTGCCGATAGGCTGTCCAATCTATTCCCAAAGCCTCAGCCTTCCATTTAGCCGTAATATCGGGATCACGAATTTTGAGCCACCACTCAGGCTTATCAGTCAGTTGGTCAATCATTTTGAGCATACAAACTTCACGAATAAGCAAGGTGGCAGCAGACCAGTCACGTTCCTCGTCTCCCATAAAGATGGGAAAGTGCTTCTTCGATGGCGGCAGGTAATGCAACGGCAGGCCGGATCCCGGTCGCTTCAAGCTGGCTCGAGGCGCCGATATAGGAGTCATGTCAGGCTCAGCGCGAATCTTGTAAGACCAGAGCATGACACGTCCAAGGTCAGAGCCTGCTGTAGCAAAAAGACACTGTGTAGGCATAGAAGTGACTGATAGAACTACGTTGCTGTGGCCATACACGGTGGCTTGGATTTTGCCAGACTCTGAGTCTGAGATCAAGAAGCTTCTGTCCTTGGAGCCAGATATAATCCAGCGGCCGTTCTCTGCCCAACATGCCGATAGGACCACATCCTATAGATTAATTAGTAGTTGGGTTGGATTGTTGGAAAAGATGAGCATGACCGTACGTACCTCATGCCCATTTATGGCACGCAAGAACCTAGGCTCACCACCAGACGGCAACATGTCCCAAATTCCCACCATCTTACCAGAACCGGCAGTCGCAAGTTGGCTGCCATCAGGAGAAAATGCAACAGAATATACCATATTGTCATGGGCATCATGCTCTCCAACTTTCCCGACAAGGCCACAGGTAGTCCCATCTAGCAGCAGAGCTCCATGCGGAGTTCCTGCAGCGAGAATCTTTGCATCCGGAGAAAGTGAAAGCGATAATAGGCGATGGGATAGTACGCCTTTTGCCACCTCCTGACCAGAGTTTATATCCCAACAGCGCACCGTCTTGTCCTCAGAACCCGAAAGAAGGAACCTAGAGCCCTTGGATAATTCTAGGCAAGTAACTGTCGCTTCATGCCCGAGAAAGGTGTGGATGATGCTCCGACTATTGATATCCCACAGCCTGACTTTTCCATCATCACCAGCAGCGGCCAAAACATTACCTCCTGCTAAGAAGCACACTGCACGAACCAAATCAGGCTGCCCCCATTGGGTCAGGCCGTGCTTCATCTCACAAAACATTTGTCGGGTATCTGTTTTGAAGATCTGAACTCCGCAATCAATGCCAACAGCAACGAGGCCGCCATCTGGCGAGAATCTGACACAAACCACCTCGGATACACTGGGCATGATTATATGCTGAAGACTCAGGTCCAAGATGCGCGGGACGGCTGGATTAAACTTGGCCGCCCAACCTTGGCCCGAGACTTTCAGATGGTCCGGCACATCCTCAAACGGATCGAAGTCGTGGTTGTCCATGCTATGAGTTGGAGAGATGTTTGTGTATTATTATATGCAATCTTCGTGGCCGCGTTATCAAAAAAAAAAAAAAAAAAAAAAAAATGCAATGGCAACGACAAAGGTCCTGATTGATACCGGACTAGAGCATCAACTAAGCAATTGAGTCAAGTGAATTCCAGTGTCTTGGGCTTCAAACTGGCATTCGTGAAGCAAAGGGCGTAGTTTTATCTTCATCGTGATGCTCGCTTTGACCCTTGTGAGTCCGAAGGTGGGTGTTACTGCCTCGAGATTGCGCGACGGGCACCAGAGACTTTGCTGACTCGCCACCTTTTAACGTCTGGTTGCCTGACAAGATACTGCAGATCCTCCACTTCCCCGCCAATACGAGATACACATTCAACATGGCTGCCTTTCAACCTGTCATTCCTGAATCCTCAGTCCCGCTCGAGTCACGTCGTTCACAACCTCTGGCAGGACTCGACAAAGTTTTCACGTCCAGGGCTTGGTGGAACATCCGTTTAGAGTTCCAGGGGTATCCATGGCAAACCCGTCTCCGGCCGTTGCCTCATGAGGAAAGCTCTCACATAGCGTCGGGCGAGTTCCGGGACGCGTACCAGCAATTAACTGTGGAAGAAGTTTCGGCGCCGATTTCTCCGTCATATGCAATGTTCAGGAATTGCTCAAGAGGGTCTAGAAAGCTATCCCAGGGCCGATGGACTGACGAAATACAAGATGCGATATCGAACCCCTCTCACCTCCTCCATCCCAAGCCCTTTAGGAACATTAACGACTCAAGATGATGTGTCTTCAAAAGCTGGAAAGCTTCACCCAAAATAATCTTGTTTCTTCAATCATTCTTTCTCATATTTTTTGCCTCCTCAAGGACAGCAACCACTATTTTTGCAATGGCCAAAATCTTTTCCTCTTCAAACTTTCGAGCAACTAGCTGGACTCCGACTGGCGCTCCATCGTAGACTTGAGGATCGTCTGCAAACAGAATCAGCGTGCTTGGCAGAAGCAGAGCAGAGAAGTAAACATACATGCATCCCAGTTGCGTTGGTCTGTCTCATTTTCAGGGCAATAACTACCATCTATAGTGTCAATACTTTTATCGGCTCTCGTCACGGGAATTACGACCGCGCTGTAGTTCAGCAGGTTGATAACCTTGGTATATCCTAAATGCATGATTAGCCTCTCATTCTCATAGTGATTGATATGAGACGTGATCCTACCTGTGTGGTAATACTTTCCAGGGATAACTGCCGCATGGGGAGCAACAGGCATGATGACGGCATCCACAATCTGACCTAGGCCCGGACAAAATCAGCTTTACAATCTCATTGCATCTTGGTCAACAGGTTAATAAAGCCTACCGTCATCACTCGCGGTCTGGTTCCAGTAGTCTGAATACTTAGCCTCATAAGATAGCCCCTCTAGAGTATTTTCCTGGTATTGGAGCAGCCCAATGGGGGGTTTCAGCTGGAATTCCTCCTGAAGATCTGCTATTAGTGGTTCCCCAGATAGATCGAGGTGCCCGTGGATGTCATGTGCGCCGTCGGCCGTTAAAAACGATTCCTATTAACCTGTGATTAGTGACCCGCGTTGAGGGTTGTGTTGCGAACCAGCCATTATTCTTACATGCAGCCTACCGGCCGTCCTTTGCGAGGGTGGATTCCAATTGACTACCTGATGTTGGGGTATGGTCAGCCTCATAGAAGCTAATAACAAAATATAGTTTAGTCTACAACGACATACCAGATGGCCTGCTTGTTTGAGTGCAGCTACCAGAATGTTCAGGCCACGTGTGACTGGAGGGTGAGGCTGGACAATGCCATCTGTCCATAGAACACCAAGTTTTAGCGGCTGCTTGGATTCCTTGACTAATCCGTTGAGTTCCACGCGGCAGGTGTAATCATCAATAATGGCCTGACGAAAGGCTATTGGCACAACAGCAGGATCATTCAACCACGGCTTCGTAGACAAAATTCCTCGGAAAATGAGCTCGAGGCCATCCAGCGAAGTGCTGAGAAAGCCAACAGTAGAGCGATAGGTGTTCTGTCCTGGGTTCGTGTTGGCAGCATCACGATACGACACTCTCTGAGGTGTTGGCTTCAAGGAGAATATTCCGTTGAAGGCGGCGGGAATACGAACCGAGCCACCAATATCGGTGCCAACTCCAAGCGTGCTGCCTCTCAGGGCCTGCAGCGCTCCTTCACCACCAGACGATCCGCCGCATGATAAGTTTTGGTTGTGTGGGTTCAGAGTCTGGCCGATGATGTTGTTCTTGGTCTCTCCAAACAGAAGAGTCTGCGGCACGCTTGTCTTGCAGTACAGCACAGCACCCAGAGACAGCAGCTCGCTTACAACTTGGCTTTCGAGTGTGTGTATCTGGCTTGGGTGAGTGACACCCAAATTACTGCCAATCCATCCCACATAGCCCATGGTCGTATCGACGCCTTTGACATAAAATTGGTCCTTCAGGCTGATTGGAAGGCCATGCAAGGGCCCTACCACCGTTTTGTGCTGAGCAAAGTGTGCATCGAGATGGGCTGCGAGCTCAATGGCCTCGTCGAAGAATATCTCGTGAAGGCAGTTGTTCTACTTGGCCCAACCCCCGTCAGATTTCTACTTGCCAGGGATGATACGGGAATTGCTTTGAACCCACAATCTGGTGTGCGACAGCAGCCGTCTTGCAGAATGCCGTCGTGACCTCGACGGCGGTCAGGTCTCCTCGCCTCAGAGACTCGACCAGCTCAAGGCTATCCTTGGAGGTGATGCTATTGACATGCGGTGGCAGAAATTGGCGAATAAAGGGTCCTGTGAGATCTCGCTGATTCTTGGCCCTTTGAAGGTCGTCTGCGCTCAGCCTCCACGAAGGTGGAATTCTGGCCCTTGTGCTTGCCCTCTTGGCCGCGGCCTTGGCCTCCCACGATGTCGCCTCTATTCTCATATTGCATGTGCAACTGCTGGAACACCAGCCGTAATGCGTCACGACGACTGCTGGCTGCAGGGGCTGATGAAAACAACGCTCAAGTTTGGAGGGAGGGCGGTTTCTCAGCCTCTGCCGCCCAATATGAGGGGGTTGCACATGGCATGCATGAGGGGGGTCTGGTGAGGAGAGTTCACGTTGGGTGACACCTGCTCGTTCCGAAACGCATCGGCCTTCTTGAACCAATTAAACTATCTGGAGCTACAGAGGAGCTCAATGCCCCGGATTTGCAATATTAGGCGTCGTCCCGTCTTGGCCTAGTTTAACTTATGCCCATCAATTCTCTTCACCACCGAGTGACTCGATAGGCGAGCGAACCGACTACATGCTGGCCAAAGGCGATGCATCCTCCTTTGACTCCTTGATGAAGACACTTCGGAATCCCTTTGCGTTGTATTCATCTTACACTAGCCTCTATGGGGACTGAAGAAACCTTTCTCCAGCACACTACTAACCGAATTAATGACCTACGCACACCGGTTTGGCAAGCTGATAAGAATCGCCGGCCTGTAGTTCTTCTGGATGCATTCGCCTTGAAGCTTCTTCAGACTCTGCAAATCAGGGAGAAGGGTACACATCGCCGCTAGAACATTCTGAAATTGACAAAGTCATGAGGAGTGTTATGAGCTAGATTGACGATATGATTACGACCAATGAGCTATACCACGTCAAGTTTGGGCGACTAAAGTCTACGCTTGGTTCTCTGAAGCTGGGACCAGAAGCACGGCTCAAGACCGCCGTCGGACTGAGAACACCCCGTTCTGTGATCGATGAATCTATGCCTCAAATCGGTGACTACTTGCTAGTAGAGTTGCCTGCTACAGTACCGGATGCATTTACAAAGGATGCGACCAGTGCCCCGGTTTGGGACGGGGAGTCAGCTGACGAGGTTTGGAGTATGCTACGGCTATTGGAGGAGAGAAGTGTGGACGAGATTCTAAAGCAGGCGGCCTCACTTGGCAAGTTGGCTGTAGATAAACGTGATCGTGAGAGCGTTGAAAGGCGTACTAGGAAAAGACACATAATGAACCAGATAGTACTCACTAGTCGTAAGTTGCCACTTCATAATTCAAAGCAGCACATTTCCATCGAAAATAAACTAAATATAATAGATATAACATCTTGAGTAGCCGAGTTATTGAGCAACAGTTGACACTTTATAATTTTCTCTCTGCGGGAAGCCATAAGGCTTATAGTAAATCAAGCTACCACAAAAGAGAGCCCAAGAATTTCTCCCTAGTAAGAGACTTAACTGATGAGGAATAATAGACTGATCGTGATTTCTAGTGAGAATTATCCGCGAAGGATTCTGATTTCGATAGTTCTAAGGACGTCATATGACACCGCGGCGAAGGCAAATCCTATGTGACAAGGGCTCAGTGGAAGCTTGGAGCAATGGCTCTATTCATCCAACAACAGTCTTAGGTATTAAAGGCCCTTGGTTTCCCTCAAGGCCTCGCGCGACCAAAGGTCTCTATAAATACAAGAAGTCAGTAAGGGCCTTCGGCCCTAGGTCCCGTGATCATAGTCCTCGCGTAACCATGTAACATGGTGTGTTGAGATCGTTGCCCTTTACGTTGGGAGTTCAAAAATCGTACTTGGCAAGCGTCTTTGTTTCTGATGGTCCTAGTAGGTATTGGCTAACCTGTTTAAATGGAGGTAAGAGGCTGGTATCTTGAACTCTAGGACTATATGGCGGTTGACTCCTCATCGGTGCAAAGTAGATCCGACCTTTCGGCTCTGTAAGCTAGTTTATACACGCACAATAGTCCTGTAACACTTCAATCTTGCTGAAAATTCCCATGTAATAACCCATGGTTACATTGAGATCTTTATGACAATATGAGTGAGTCTCCAATAAGTAAAATGCTCGAAAGTATAGCGAGGGTTTTCTGAGGTCTATAGCCCTCTGCGTCCTGCCGGGCTTTAAATACCTCAATGTCGTGTTGGCATGACCAGCTCTAGTCCTGAAGGTATCATCCCAAATGATGGGTTCCATTTTCACCGAATCTATCACCATGATGCGATGAAAGGCCCAGTTGGGTTGACCCTGGCGGACAGCTTTTTATGCTAAGTGGACTCTCTGGCAAGCCCAGAGAACTCGTCCCTCGCAAGCATGATAGGTTGGTTTGGAATCCATAACTGAACCTTTCAGCTCTCCGACACAATGACTGGACGGTACCTGGTACATGAGTCTCAGTCATGTCTAGCCTGCGTGCCATGTAGAGAATCCGTTCCGAGACAGAAACCCTCATTGGCTGAGCACGGGGACATTTTCCCTTAAGTTTTCATCCCCGTCTAGATCTAGTTGGATGGTAATCGCCGGATGCATAATGCTGCGGCACTCGGATCCGGCAGCTAGGTTGACCCTCCCGTCAGAGAATTACGACTGGAAACCTGGCATTATGCACCTAACATTAAGAGCATGACGTGAGCCACACAGTTGAAAGGATAGCTTCAGGTCATAGACAAAGCATTGGGAAATCAGATAGGCATATATCTGCCTTGGGTTAAATACAAGGTAATCGAAATCTTGCGCACGTATTTCGCCAGGGTTTGGAGGCACAGCCATGGCTCCGGAGGCAAATGAGCCTTGAAAAGACAAAAAAAGCGAATCCAGAACCGGGAGCCATAAGCTGAAACTACACAGCGTAGCACTTCCGGTAGCATATTCAAGACACCAGCTTGGTTCGGGTCGCCTTCAGACAGCCACACAGTCTCGTTTTGGCAAGGATCTCTACTTGTCTCAAACGAACGTACATTCTACTTATCCCGTCATCCCGTGCTCAGACTTTTCTGAGACATAATATTATGTATTTAAAGAAGGAGCAGCGTGGCCCGTAGAAGCGTTTGGATTCCATTTCCAATTTACTCGTACTCCCTACCATACGTTAGCAAAATGCGTCCCCTTTCTATTGTTCCTTTCGCCCTCTTTACTTTGGGATTGGCAAACAAGCCAGAAGGAGATTTCGCGGTAAATATGCATATTCAATAAACCAATTAGATTTGGGTTCTATGTTAATGGCTAGAATTTAAGGCTGTGCTTTTCGGTAATAATTACAAATTCGGCGTTAAAAGAGGACCCTGCGTCAACATAAAGAGAAGCCAGTACGTTGAGCCTACTCGTCACTCTATAATGCAATAGAGTCGCTCATACTCTAATTCAGGCCAATTTTCCATGAGATCGAGGTCAGCGGGCACGACGTGTGCACCGTTTATGCGTGCGTACATATCTTTCATCTTGATTAAGATGCTTTAATGCTAATAAAAAAATTGTCTCAGGCATCTCAAATGCGATACTAAAGTCAGAGAGTTTCGAGCGGGCGTTCACAAGATTACGGATGTCGTGTTCGAGTCTATCAAATGTCCCGTGCTAGAAGAGCTATAAATTGAACAACCAATGGCAAATAGACAACCCAAAGATGGTTCATGAAGTAGAATTGATCAATTAGTATACTCTAGAGAATACAAAGGCGAGGAATATGCAAAGTTATATAAAATTCAGCTGACTGGCCTGGAATGTTCAGCGAGTGGTGAGGCCAGAAGTTGAAGACAAGATACACTCCCGCCTAGATAAGCTTACTTGCCTGGGATCTGGATATACTTTTCAGCCATTTTACATTTGATTCTCAAGTTTAGTCCGTGAGATAAGTCATATTCCGGCTCAGTTGCGTTTGTAGATTGATACCACGCTACATTCTGTAGATTCTAGGAGGCACAATCAGCGACGGTGTCAGGGCTACAGAAATATAGAGAGACCGAAAATAACACACTCATAAGCTGGGTATCATTCGGAAGAGAGTGGCTATTGCTGCATCTTTTTGCTCCGTGACTCGGTGGTCGTGTCCGATAACCAGTCTGACAGACAGTCACAATGGTGTTGGCGACGATAAACGCATTGAACGGCTTTTCCACCTGCTGTGCACCATGAAGAGAGTCAAGGTAAGCAAATTAAGCTGAAAATGCACCTCTCAAAGCCTCATCATTCAACCAAGTTTGTAGGGTTTGTGCCGGCATCTTCAATCAAGCCTCATTGACGAAGGCACAACTACAGCCCATGTTCACAGTTGACCTACTTGCACCTTGACTGATTATACTTGCCGGCAAATATTGAGAAGTGTATTGGTCCCCACCCCCCGTCTACGTATTACAATAACACAGTGGTAACCGCGCAACACATACATAACAATGTTCCGGGCATGGATTAGTCACACAGCATACGACTTGCTGCTCCAAGCCCAGTCAAAACACAGTTTGGAGGCTCCTAGACCACGTTAATTGCTGCCCAAATTCGTCGTATGTCTCGGAATGTACATTTCTAGCATACTTTTGGTTCTACAACGGCATCTGACGGTACCACAACATGCTGCACTGCTGGACTTGCGGATACAATACTCCACTCGCACGTATTCTTCCGGTCAACGAGCCGAGCCATATGTATATACATATGATACAGTGGTGCCAGAGTTTAGTTATCTTGTTGACAGCTATGGAAGCAGATTAAAGCGTGGAATTGTCCTTGGGATTGAAGTTATCTAGGTACGGAAAACAGGCCCTTATTTATAGATATTAAGGTTATTTAATAGGTTACCTAAAAAGCTATTAATTTAAGGGATTTTATGGTATTTAGCTATTAAAGATTTAGCTTTAATAGGGTGGTAGCGCGAGCCTTTTAGAGGCTTTTTCGTACAATCGGAAGGCAGCTATTTGAGGCTTTCTAGGGCTTTTCGGGGTCCCCGATGAATAGCAGCCTTTTTCCATTGAAAGGGGCCTTTGGCGTTGACATTAGTAGAGATACTGTCAATAAAAAGAACGCGCTCTCTTACTGAACAATTATACCTCCTTTTATTCCGTTGACAGATACAAAGCATCGATCTCAAGCTGCTAGAGAAAGACAAGTTAGTGTGAACACCCCAAGACTTGTAACAGAGAAAACCTTCTGAGCCGACTTACTGATAGACGTCAACTGATTAATTGCATAGATATTCACTGATCCAACTCACACTTGTAGTACAAGTGAATGAAAACGGTCATCCCCGCAGCTCAAGGCATCCACACACAAGGCTTTGGGTAACCCCAAAATCACTCTTCGTATCCTCGATGTTATTATTAGTCTTTCACCGAAGTAGCACAGTATGGAACAACCATTCCGGCCTAGTTATCAACCCAGATTTTTGCTGCCACATGAACCCCACTGGGCGTATATACAGCCAAGGATAGCTAGAAGCAGGATATGGCTACCGGGGTTCATATTGACGTACGGCATGCTGACTGTGAAAAAAATTGTCCAAAATTAGAAATATGGGGCTGTCACATCATATCACGCGGTCTCGTCTTGGTTTCTGCAACGGTCAAGAGCCATCTTATTAGAAGCATCGCCCCGTGAGCTGGGGGGAAGACCACAAGAAGGGCATGATGGCCGCAACTAGCCAGAGTTCCCATAGCACCATACTTGTGGACGATTTTGTTACCGAATTTTAATTTTGAATAAGCAACATCCCGAACAGCTGTCAAGACTAAGCAAGCGAAGGATTGCATCACTTTCCTGCTATCCAAACACAATTCTCGCTCCGACAGCAGATGACATCTCGAAAATCACTGTATGAAACCTAGTGTCTTTGGAAGTCGAATTAGATCGCAGTCAAATACGACACCAAGAATTTCCCGCTATTGCTAGTCTCATCTACCCGAAACATGGATCAAGAAGAGCCTGAGCTCCACGACGGCCAACGACCATCCTGTGAAGTTCTCACTCCAACGAAGCCAGAATCGACTCATTTCATGACAAAAGAAGACGATTATGACCAGAAGCGTCTTCAAAAAAGTGGAACTTTGCTGTATTTTCAATCTTGGGCTCTTGAGGCCTCGTGGTGTCTTGTCGCTTTGCTTCTTCTGGTCTTGCTTGCTTTGGCCCTGAAGCAGTTTGATGGCAAAGCACAACCGAATTGGCCTCTTGGGCTGACATTAAACACTCTGATTGCCTTCCTGTCAACCATCTGCCGATCTATTATGGTCCTCCCGGTTACTGAAGGTCTTTTGCAGTTGAAATGGAATTGGTTTGCTGGTAAAGGACGCCCTCTTCGAGATATCCATCTATTCGACAAGGCAAGTCGTTCGCCTTGGGCGAGCATTCAATTGGTCACAAGACTGCGAGGGAGGTGCGTGCCGACCAAGTTGTTCAATGCCAGTTGAAATGCTAACTTGACAAGGTTCATACCTATTGGAATATTGGCTTCACTTGTCCTTGTAGCAAGTCTCGCGACATCATTTATCACGCAGTCTACCATCTCCTACTCAACGCGGACAGTTGTGGCAAATAATAAAAGTGCTGTATCGGTTGCTTCTCTGGAATTTCCAATGGGAGTGGATCCAGGACATAGAACAGATTGTAAGTTCGTAACCGCAGTTTTCTATTGTTTTCACCTTTCGTTCTTTTCCTCTCTTCCCCTCGCCCCGGGACCCCCTTTCAAAGAAAAATGAGGAGGGGTGCCGGAGGAGAAGAAGAATGAGAGGGGAAAAAGAGAAAATGCAGAAACTCATCAGGATTCTAGTTTATTTCGCCCCGGATGGAATACTTCGTGCAGCAGAGCGGTCTTTATTCCACAGGGTTGATGCAGGCGAAAGCTGGCCTGCACTCAAGCCGCACTGTCCTACGGCAAATTGTCGGTGGCCAATATTAAGCTCCTTGGCTATATGTGCTAGCATGGGCAATGTCACAAATAATCTCACTACAGACGAGTCAGATCCCGGATTCATGACTTTACCAAGAGGGTTGGGGAGATTCTGCGGCGGCCTCAATATTACGTCTCCCGCCTACACAGCTGATCGAGAGCCACAAATAAATCCCAATACTACTGAGCCTTTTTACGAGTGGGAAAACCCGGACATTATGTCACTGTCACTTGCCCGGGCTTTCTTCCTCTACGAGATCCCCTCGAATGGACTCGATGACACGCAGCTCGAGGCCGTGGAAGTAGTTTGGCACTACTGCGTCCACACCTACAACATCTCTGTTACGGATAATGTCGCAAACACAGCATTGTTGGAGTCTGAAGCAAAAATACATCAGCATGATGAAGATAACGGAACCTTCGTGCTCCTTGACAAAAGCGGCCAAAAAAAGTTTTCCGCATCACGGAACGGCATTATGTTTGGTCTTCAGCGGAGGATTCCAACTACATTCGTAGGACATATGTCCTTTGCGGACTCTCCTAACTTAGTTAATGTAAACGAATTTACTTATCAAATAGGGAGTAACCTAATGAGCGGCATCCTAGGTTACAATATCACTGAACAACCCACGGAACGTCGCGGACCAATCATCTGGAATAACCTCAGAAATATAACAGAAACCATGGCTCTAGCCATGACAGATTTGTGCGTTAATTTTGCAGCTGACTACACTAATGAACAAAAGGCTGACCATTTTATACTAGCATGCGAGTTAACCAAATCAACGGTACCGTCATAGGAGACGCTCTGGAGTCGGAAATCTTTATCACCGTAAGATGGCCGTGGCTTTCGTTTCTCGCGGCCCAGATTGGCTTGACAATCGTTTTCGTATTGGCAGTTGCAGCATGTACCTTCAACTTGGAAGTCCCTGTGATTAAGGGTTCGAATGTGGCTGAACTTTTTGCGATTCGCAAGTCGGATATGGAAACGACAACACCCGGCACAGTGGGCGGGAAGCAAGCTGGCATTGACCAAAAGATTGACAAGCAGACACTAGGAATCCTGGTACGGGAGTGCGATACCTGGAACCTGGAGATTCATTCCAAGGAGTAGGCACCAGCGAGTGTCGTTGCATGCGGTATGCGTCACGAAGATTGGCTGTTTGCAACACCTAATCTAGCCACAACACAAGACCGTAACTGGCATACCTCGATTTTATGGCGGAGGGTTAAGTGCTGTTTTGGCCATGGTTTCTTTGTCTTGTTGTAGCTTGTTCCATAGCATGTGATTGGTATGTGCCTTGTTCTTGGACAATAAATATCCATGTACTTCGGCGCAACGACGTCGCGATTGATTTCACTCATAAGCTTTCCTGAAAATTAGGCAATTCCCACCTTGGAATCCATTTGGACCGTAGGACTCTTCCAATTGCAGCTTAAACCAAAGCATTTGGCGCATTAAGTCCAAGAGAGCAGTTTTTTTCTCTCCGCTAAACTCACCTGCCCCAGGCTTCGTCGATACTCCTGTATGTCCTTCTCAAGTGTAGCATCCAGATGAGATCTCTCCGATATTGCACATTACCCGTGTCATTGTGTAGCATGGGTGGCTGCCATTGGGACCGTGGAACTCGAATTCCTCGGGGATGGCAGGAACCGAATTTCGTCCTGACTGGTGTGACGACACTTTCTAGGCGGCAAGAGCTCTGGGAATGCAAAGCTCCCGCGGAAGTCAATCTGCTATGCCGACCTTAGTTCTTTCCAATAACTGCACATGTGGTGTTAATGTTAATAAAAGCAGCGGAGCGGAAATTACAAACGGCACGGTTAAAATCGCTCTTTAGGGTTCCATGACGATGTGCATAACCCCCGGACATTCAAGAGGTAATAGCTATCTGTAGAGACTCTAATAAGCCCTGTTTAGGCGTGTTACGCATGCATTCGCCGTCGCTTTCGCATTATCGGGCCTTCCACGGATTGGAGCATTCAGACATGGCGCACAAAGCCGGCGGAGTTAGATTTGCCTACGACAAGAGAAAGTGGAGATAAAGGAGGCGCTACCTTGTCTCCTTATCTGGAAATGAATGGTTCCTTATCTCCAGAGCCTTCTATGCTCTTAGTATACGCCAGTGGCCGCTGTATACTGTCTGGTTCGTTGTTACAAGTACTCGACCACCCGATGGCGTGAAGCCACTCCAAAAAGGCCTACTGTAGGTTCGCTATGAAATGCCCCGTACGGGTCTCAATAAGCAAATTAGCACTGGTGAAAGTGTGACAAGGGCTCAGGGAGGGCTTGCAGTAATAACTCGAGTCATTTAATGACAGTCTTTGGTATTAAATGTCCTTGGCTTTCCTCAAGGCCTAGATGACTAAAGAGCTCTATTTATACAAGAAGTCGGTGAGAGCCTTATGCCCTAGGTCTCGTGACCGTAGCCCTTGTGTAACCTTTAACATTGGGCCATTTCCGCGTAACAGTACGGGCTTGCTCCTCATACTCGAGTCACCTCAGCTCATGTTAGCTTACCTCGCTTTATCAGCCGCAGGCCTCCTATCCCGAGGAACTCTAGAAATGGATGGCGTCCATGTATTGTCGATTCTAGGCCATTTGCAAACTTCAGGTCTAGCGTTATTGAGAAATGCCCTCGGGACTGGACAGATGTTTAAGACCTTACTAGCCACGTGTCGTGTTTGGTGCCTTACAGATGTCTTTACACATCGCGAGGGGATGTCGTCTTGGCGAGTCCATTTGCAGGTTATCAATGCTCTTCTAAACACAATAGAAGCCCATCACGACATTATGCCCGCACCTGGGTCCTGCTAGTCAGCCATGAGGTATCTATACCAACCATATCTGTCGCTTCAGACACTTCGGTACATACTGAAGTAGGGATAAACGGAGATATTAGCGTACTTGGGCACGTAAACTTCTCCAATCTCCAATTTCTCAAGGGTCAGCCGTAACCAGCCCCAAAATAGACGGGGTCCTCGGCTACAGCAATGAGCTACTAGATGTCTTGCAATAAATCGACCGGTTGTCCCACCCTAAGGCACAAACAAGATTCGAGGCCGACCTTCTTCAAAGCTCAAAGGAATGATCCTGAGAGACATGAAGACCCCACCTCACATCTCGATTTGCATGCCTTTGTCGGCGGAAAATAGTCGCGAATTCGCACTCTGCCACCAAACCTTTCAGCAAGCAACTCTGATTCACCTGTACAGGCGATTATACCACCTTCCATCGGGGTCTCAGCCGATACAAGCTGCGGTGCTCTCAATAAAGGAAATGGTCAGCAACATGATTCAGGGACAAGCATGCCACACTTGGGTCGCCATGGCCATGCCGTTGTTTACTCTCGGCTGTGAAGCTTACACCAAAGAGAGGCAGCTCTTTGTATTGGACAAGATCAATAAGCTTGAGGACTGCATTGGGTCTCTCCATGTCAAACTCATCCGGCAAGCGTCAAAGAACGTGTGGAAAGTCCGGGAGAGGCTAGGGGGTAGTGAAGGCATTATATGCGCAAATCAACTCTTGAGCAAGTACCAGTCACGCCGTCTCAGACCCCAGCTGACACGACAGTTTGCAGATGAACTATAATACAACATCATTCTTTTCTGAAAACAAAAAAAGTGTTTTGTTCAAGGTCATCTAAATACAAGTGTGATACTATATTGCCTCCCAGAAATGTCGATTTTCAAGTGGCTCATGGGACTCTGCTTATTACGATTCAAATTCAGCCACCACGACTCAGTCGTCAACAATTGTTACCCTACGTCTCACAGTTCGTAGCTCTCTCCAGGGATCATCATTTTGCTCAACGGCCCCTTTTTCACCATTATGCTCACCACCTCATGTAGCACATCGGCTGCTGCCATGGTAGTATGCTCGGCACTCGTGTCATAGGCAGGCTGTGTTCGGTGTTTGTTGGTTACAATATCAGATCCACCTCTAAGCATGTTGACCACATACCGCCACTTCAACAATGCCCGCTGCTTTTTAAGACCGCGGAGGATGGTTTTGCGCTCCCTGGTCGACCAGCCCTCTGTTTCGGGAGTGCCGGTGGCGGGAGCAAAGGCAGGGTCAAGTGTGTCAATGTCAATAGACAAGTAGACGGGTCTCTCAGTCCCGATTCGATCGACAATTCTCTTGATAATGCCTTCAGTTCCGATGGGGTCAATCTCGCGCGCTTCTACAATCTCGAAGCCGCAGTATCCGTCGTTGTCGCAATCGCTGGGTCCGCTCAGCGTTGTGCGAATGCCGGCATGGATCTTGCTGTCGTTGGCCAGCAAGCCCTGCTGAGATGCATGATAGAAATAGGTGCCGTGATTGATGGAAGCGACCTCGGACGGGCATCCACCAAAGACTTTTGGTTTCCCTATGTTTTGTCGTCAGTATGAGCTTCGAACTGGCCTGTAAAACACTGAATGACGTACACGTGTCCAGATGGCTATCGAAAGTGAATCACCGAGACGGGACCATGAGCACGGTTGATGGACCGCAGAAGAGGCAGGGTAATAGTATGGTCTCCGCCAAGGGTGATGACCCGGGGCAGAGTCTTCCCCTTAATTGCCGGGCCTCTCTTATCAGCGTCTGTAGCGGGAGATCGGGATAGGATCTCAAACGTCCCTCCTCAATCTGCTTGAGGGCCCATGTGTTGTCGTACCTTTACCCTAGTCAGTGACGTTCCTACATGGTACGGCTAAAGACTCACGATGTGACTGGAATATCGCCACAGTCAACGACAGTGGCCCAGCTATTGAAAGGATTTATTTCAAGTGGGACGTTGTAGGCGCCGCTAATATTCTGGTGAGAATTTTCTCAATGTAGTCAAAGCAGGAGTATAACATACTACAGATTCAGTCTGCGGGAACCTTGTCAGATACCTGAAGGTCCAAAGCGCGCACCAGGACGATATGAAGTTCCGGTATCAAATGGGGCCCCTTTCGAATGTCAGTCTTGAAATACTGAAGTCAACTGCTAGTGCCATGCCGATGAAAGCAATGTCGTATTTCGCATCACGATTTTCTAGACAAGGTTCGTAGGGAAGGCGTCCAAAAGCTGAGATGCCGGAGAAAACCGAGTCTGCCCACAGTTAGAGTTAGTGGTTAGATTTTTGGCAGATGAGAATAAAAGAGGATCTGAATCACCTGTGTGCCGCCCTCCCCAGGCAGCGTGTTGAACCATAAAGACTGATGAGGTCCAGCAAGGCTTTTCTGCTCATGTGTTACACGGAAATGGCTGGTCACACAAGGGCTACGGTCACGAGACCTAGGGCAAAGACCCTCACCGACTTCTTGTATTTATAGCGACCTTTGGTCCCTCAAGGACTTGGAAAACCAAGGACCTTTGATAACAAAGACTGTTATTAGATGAATTGAGCTATTAGCTCCAAGCCCTCCTTGAGCCCTTGTCACATCATGTCCCGCATGGGCGGCTGCAATAGTCACCCAACCAAAGACCAAGATTGCCGAAGAGATCATGTTGCTATTCGATGGTAGCTCGAGGTTTGGGAAGAAAGTCCAAGAGCGTCTGGTTTTGCGAAGCAATCTAATTCTTATATAAGTGGTTGAAATCCAGCCCGGAAGCTATTGACCACTGTTATTTAACTTGTCCTCCCAAGCAATTGCCACCTCAGTTCAAGCCTCCGAATATAACCGATCTTGATAAAGCTCATGATATGTTCATAACATGAAGCGGCTACTTGACCAGACACAGTTTAGCGGACCCGCCTCCACGCTTATCCTTTATCGTGGCTATATTGCCAAAGAAGGGTAGTACAGGATCCGTGTTACAGTAAATAGATCGGGCGAAAACTCCCACCGCTCGGACTCTGATGGCAGCCGCGTCATAGTCTTTTATTCGCCTGCTATCCCCAAAACGGGACACATGTATATATCGCAATTAAACCCTTAGGCCCTTATCGCAACGCGTTTCATGTAGAATCTGCACAAATATGTAACAAAACCTTGCAAAGTGCCACAGTTGTGATTTATTATGCGACAGCAGAATTCAAAGTTACCCCCAACCAAACTACCATCGCCGTCCGGATAGAAGACCTTAGTCAAAAATCACAAGCTACAATGGATAGGCCTCAAGCGCACATTGATATGTTGCCGCCAGTGCCCGAGCAATATGCGAACGAAACGACGCCGTTAATCCCCGAACCTCGTTATACCGCTTTTCCTCCTCCGCCCAAATACTTTAAATAGCTAGGTGAAACGTGGTTTTTTACAAAGGCATCGATACCCGTCATTATCGCCTACATGTTCCAAAATAGTCTACAGACAACATCGATCCTAGTTACCGGACGCCTTTCTTCCGAAGCACTGGCAGCCTCTGCCTTCTCTTACACGTTCGCCATGGCAACCGCATGGCTCATTGCCCTCGGTGGAAGCAGCGAATTAGACACATTGGCCGCAAGCAATTTCACAGCCTCCAAAGACAAGCGCAACCTCGGAATTCTTCTGCGAAGAGGGCTGTTGGTCTTGACCGCGTCCTCCGTCATCATCGTTCTGTGGTGCTTTTCTGAGCCCCTATTCAGGCGGTTTGGACAGCCGGAGCACATTTGCACGCAGAGTTCTTGGTTTCTCCAGCTACTCGCTCCAGGCAGCCTCGGTGAGGTCTGGTTTGAGTGCATGAAAGAGTTCCTGCAAGCGCAGAGGATATATGATCCTGGAATATATGCCCTGCTTATTACGTCTACGTTAAACCATGTTCTTAATTATATCTTCGTTCACATCTTTAGGTTTGGCTTGTATGGCGCTCCCATGGCCACTGGCATATCATACTGGGTTTCATCCTCTTTTAGTTGCCTATGCGGCACTTGTTTATGGCGAGGAGTGCTGGAGTGGCATTCAACTGGAGAGTTCTCTGAGCAACTCTTGGACCTTTGCTAAACTTGCCCTTCTGGGTTTCGTCCATGTTGGAACTGAGTGGTGGGCGTTTGAGACTGTTGCTCTTGCCGCAGGCCGACTTGGCACCACTTCCCTTGCGGCCCAGTCAGTCGTTATGACTGCCGACCAGATTATCAACACCATTCCGCTTGACCTGGGCGTTGCAGAGTCGGCACGCTTGGGGAACCTTCTGGGGGCCCAAGACCCCAAGGCCGCCAGACGGTCTGCCCATTGTGCCGCCGTCCTCTCTGTCCTCTCTGGCTCCATCATTCTCACGATTCTATTTGCAACAAGATACTCCATAGGGGGGCTGTTCAACAGTGACGAGCGCGTCATTGGCCTTGTTGCTGACATTATTCCCTATGTGGCGCTGTTTCAGATCGCAGATGGGTGGCATGGCAGCTGCGGCGGAGCGCTGAGAGGCATGGGACGTCAATGGGTTGGGGCCCTGGTCAACTGCGTAAGCTACTATGGGGGCGGACTTCCTGCTAGCATTTATCTTGCCTTTTATGGATGGGGTTTAGCCGGTCTCCGGGTAGGACAATGTGTGGCACTATCTCTCGTGGGATCTTGGAGTTGATTATCGTGGGGTTGAGCAACTGGAACCACGAGGTGCAAAAGGCCGCTGGTCGACTGGGTGAGGATAATAACTTGCCTACATACTAGCCTATATAGGTCTAGGAGAAAATTACATTTACATGTCAAGTTTCAGCTATGTGCTTGAGCTTGTCTTGCCGCGTGGCCAAGAGCCTCCCCGCCTCCCAAATTAACCAACACCTTTGTTGGAACGAAGGCAGCAATTACAGACAAAATCCAAGTAAATAAAGTTGTCAAACATCTATTTTCCCTCCTGCTGATAACTCGTAGTCAATGTACAAAATAGCCAGTCGGAGTGCAAGGCTGCAAGGGAGATAAGTTGACGACGCAAGCGTTTCACTGATGGGCCGTGCTATTCGTGCTACCAACCCTAACTATTCGTGCTAATGCCCCACCTTAATTTTAGGCCTACACCCTAACCTACCACGCCCCGCTATATAATTTCACATATATTACCCTGGTAATAAGAGAGTTATTACGAAATACGATTTAAGACGCAATGATAATAAAGACTTATAATACGATTACGAGCGCGATTAGAAAACGCTATAAATTACATATAAACTTAATTAATAGGTAAATAAGCTACGAAGTAAGTAATAGTATTAGGGTCGCTAGAAATTAAGGAAATTATCCCTTAAATACAGCTAAAAGAGCCGTAGCTTTAATAGATAACCTCTTAGAAGCCTAGGTAGCGCTTATAATAGTAGTAAAATAATTAATAGCTCGTAAATATATATATATATTTATTAAAAACATTAAAAATCGCGTTTTTAAGCGATTTATACCCTATTAGTACTTACTTAAGCTTATATTATTAAAAAAATAATACATTTAAATACTATTAATTGAATTTTTAAAAAGCGGGCGCGACCATGTAAGTGTATGTGAAAATGTATAGTGGGGTGTGGGCAGTCAACCACTAGGCTAAATCGAGCGGTAGTAGCACGAATAGCTAGGGTTGGTAGCACGAATAGCACGACCCTCACTGATAAGGCACGCATATTTCTATTTATGGTAATTTTGTGGCACCGATGCCGGTCGCTCCGGCCCGGAGTCGTGTGGTGCTCTTTGTGCGGCACAAAATTGCGGCACTAGACCCAAATTTACACCGATTGGTTTTCAAAATGCGGGCACGGCCATATGGAGGTGTGACGGGTCTTAACAGAGTATCTCTAATGGGAGTAGTATTTTAGCGCGTCTAATCGGGGCGGTATAAACCCTAACCCTAGGCTTTTAAAACTTAAATTAATGAGGTAATTAAATTATATTAATTATCCCGCTGCTATCCTTACGGCGTTGGACTGATTGTGTGGGGAGTCCGTGTTGACCGCAGTTGCCACTGGATAGTCGGTCAGATTGCTTTTGCTGTCTGTAAGTCATACCTAGCACCAGCCATCTTGGATTCTTAGGCTTCAGCTAATCGTGGCCTGAAAGTTGGCGCGGGAATCCAGATGGGAAACACTGCTATGTGCTCACATGTGTTGATGCCTATTCTATGCAAAGCATGGCCACCATGACTTTCTATGCTGTTATGCTCAATCTATCTGCATTTGTCGACCCCTTTGTGGGTCGGAAACGTGGGGTTTACTTGGACTATGGCAGGACATGCCATTATCACTGTTTTCTTGTATCCCTGTTCTCGCTTCGCTCCACAGATTCGGAAGGCTGCGTGACAAATCGGGTCAGCCGACATGGGTGAATCCTGAGTTAAGTGGATAGTGGAAGTTGGTGTTGGCAGCTGAGGGTGATCCACGTATCATATTTGCATACCACAAGACGCACTACTGAGGAAGCACCGTTAGCAGTGGTTAGTCAGTTGAGCGCCTAGGCGCCCGTGTATCGGCCGTTTTTATTTCAGCCAAGCTTGGTCCATGTCATGATAGCCGACATGGAAGCTATAACAACCAGCAACTACACCAAGTTCTTCGACTTGGGTCTACAGAGGGCCTCCCTACTTAGGCTTCAGCACTCGCTATGCGCATACCTTGTATAATAGAAAGAAAGGGAGCATAGCCTATATAACTTATGCTGTAAGCTCTGTTTATAGTGGTTCGCCCTAATACTTGAGGATCATATTGACACTAATAGTAGCAATATAGGTTGGGATCATACGGTCACACGACTGCTGTTTTTGTAAACCTGGCCCCGATTTACAAAGACACAGCACATGTCGCGCCCTTGCGTCGGCCAACCTCCACATTAGCTCGTCGAGGATGCTGTGATTATCGTGGGGCTATTTGTTGGGTCGATCCGTTATAACTCGTGGTCGCAGTGACTTGGAGGGGATTTACAGTGGGTGTATATGTCTTGATGGTGAATGAATGACGACATGGCCTTCCCAAAAGCGCATTGTGGTGTCGTGTTGGATGCCCACGCTCTATTGAACGAAAGGAATCGTTTGTCTAGTTCCAATGCCATGCATCAAGCGAAAGTACCATCATTTCTATACGCTAATGACACAAGAACAGATCATGGTGGTGCCAGTTCAGACAGGCTTTGCATCTCCAAATCCGGGCCTCACGGAAACAACAATCTGTTTTCCGGGACGGCGCCAAGTCTCGGCGCTGATGAGAATACAGAAAACTACCCAAGCGGGGCCGCTCTAAGCATAGTCATAGAGCATTGTGCATTGCGACATTTGTGTGTCTGCCCCATTCCGTTGGTTCCATCCTCCTCGCCACTCTCATCAGCGTCCAATATGTTGACAGAGTTTTCCAAAGCATCATCAGCTGAGCACATGATGGCCCAAGTGCTTTATTAGAATCGCGGAATGAGGTTCAAGGCATTGGTTGGAATACATTACCTGAGCGATGTAGTCGAAGCAGTGCATAAAGTGTTGATCGTCTTCCATGGTGTTGTATCTTCCGCCGTCATTGGCATGTCTGTGCATGACACCGCCCACGGCCGCGCTTCGACTAGTATCAAGTTGGATGCTTTACAGGGCAACCGGCAATTCGACGACGGTGGTGAGTATGTCATCATGACCGGGGCGGACGAGGAGAAGAAGTATGATGATGGTTACCGCTGAGGAGAAAGATGCGACAAGACATGTGTGGAGCGGGGCTGGCAGTGTCATTGTAGAAGGTGATGTATGTGGGAGTCAAGTAGAATGGACCAACATCAACATGGAAAGGCTTTCGAGTGACAGAGGCGGTCAAGTCCCTTTGGGCTTGTTGTGGCCTTGGCTCGACAGCACAAAATTTCAGCAGATGGCAATAATGCCTTGTATTTGAGCCTATGCACTTATTTTCCTAGCTAGTCCTGAACAATGACACATTTAGTAGCCTTATTTGTATTCCCATCCGCCAAGTGCACATTATTTGCCCGGCGTACACCAAAGAGGCCTACCAATTTCGCTTGTCGAGCCTGGAACCTGGCATGTCGTGAAGAGGGCCTGGCAACCTTCTGTTAAGCGCATTCTCTTGGCCATTTCAATAGATCGCACTCTGGTAGCATATATTCTTCCTCCTGCATCCATGCGAGTTTGAGGTGAGGGACTTTGACAGTCCCCAAATTCACACTTGCCTCCCTTCTTGCCCTGAACACATTGGCACGGAGCGGGTGTTTTTATCCGCTCAATTGCCTCTTTGATAGCCCTTTTAACTTCGTCTTCGTATAGAGGCAGAGGTGTGTTTCTGGCTCTATCAATCTCCTCGTGGATGAGTTTCGTATTACTGGACCAGTCTGGGAGTGTTATGCCGAGTATCGGAGCAGGCGTGGTCGCTGCCTTTAACCACTCATCTAGGAAGTGATTTCGAAATTCGCGTTCTAGCTTTGCCATATGATTAAGAGCTACGGCTTCAAGCTTCATGTGGAGCTGGTATTTGCTTTCTGCCATTGTTGAACAGATTTGTCGCTTCAGCTCCGGTTGTACAAGCGCGCTGATATCATCATTGACGCTTTGGCCCTGTTGTGCATTGGGCATTGTAGCGTTTTCCGACAGGACCTTGTGAGCGGCATGTAGGTCGCCTGTGAGCTGCGACGCCTGAAATAAAGTAAGGATTTGGTATGTCGATAATTTAGTTGTAGCATTTGCAATAAATTCGTCCGATCTGAGATGATTAATCAGTCTTTTGGCATTATCAAGCCACCCCTCTGCAGTCTTCTTGGCAAGGAGTTCCATATCCCAGAGTTTATCCCGCTCATTCTCTGCTTTTATCCAATTGCTGAGCTCTTGTCCTACCTGCATTGCCAGGGCGATTTCCCAAAACCCGGAGACGGATAGAGCATCTTCAGTAGAGCATAAAGCGGTTTGTGCTACATCAACATGTCCATGTCCCCGTTCCGCATCATCTGCAAGCTGTACAGCGCAGCCAATGCCGGGCAAGATGGAAGTCACTACTGCGGCTTTGTCCAAGACGCTGGCGTCACTTGAGAAAACATCAGCCACGGCTTTACCGTAAAGTGCGAGTCCGGCAACAGCCAGCGCACCCTCTCCGATCTTGGTGGTAAGTCCGGCGATTTTCTCCGGCCGCGGCGTACTGAACTCTGGTAGTCGTGCGTTTAGCTCATTGTATAGCTGTCCCTGCTTCACCACGCTGCCATAACCAAACTCTAGTAGAAGACTATCAAAACTTTCTTTAGATCTCTGATTGGCCATCGCCATGAGCTCGCCATCGCCGGCCGTCTCAACTGCAGTGGGCGCCTTGTCTTGGTTATGTGAGGCCTCATGCGGCTGCGGGATACAGTTGCTCTGCCTTTGTGATAGAAATCTTTTCGTGCGTGGACAAGGCGGCAGCCCCAGCGTTTCATCAGAAGGCTTCCCCGGCTTCTCGCCAGTTGGCTTGTCAATCTCAGATGTTCCTTCTGCAGGCTTGAGCAAGGGAAATTGGCCGCGCCAACCCAGCCCTTTCCCGTTCTCGTCCATGAACTCGATGGCGTATTCCTTGGCAGACTTGTCCTGAAAGGCCTTCCAAGGCTCCTGATTCCGCGCGGGGTGGCCCTCGGGAAATCCGACAAGCTGTGGCGCCCCTCCCCCGGCTCTAAAGGCGTCGAACGCAGGGTCATAGTCTGGATTAAGGACGTACTTGCCCTCCTTTTGAAGCCGGTCAAATCTTGTGTTGCTCAACTCATCGACAATGGTGTCATCCCGGATATCAGCAGAGTCGATCCAGCCGTGCACCTGTTTCCAGGAAATGCCACCCAGTGCGGCAAACTCCACTTCGTCCACTACAATATGCTGGCCAAGAGACCTAGGCATGTCGACAAAATTGGGTGTGCCACGGATACGATAGACAAATCGGTTGTTGCGCGATGGGTAGCTGCGCGCCACCTCGAAGTAGTACGAGGTAGAAACATAAGCGGTGTCGATGGTGGCGCCGCGCTCCCGCTGCAGTTGAACAGGCCATAGCTCGTACGCCCCCGGTGACTCATACGAGGTACGTGGGAAAAACCCGCCTCGCTTCTTAGCTTCGTCCCAAGACACGGATTCTCCACGAAAGACAAATTCCGGGTTCGGATCGGTGTCAAATTTTACCCTAGGTGGTTTCGGTGGCTCTGCTGGCGGCTGTGGACGCGGGAGAGCCGGAGGCCCCTTGGGACGCGGCGGAGGAAGCGGGGGACGGCCCGGTACCGGCGGACGCGGCGGAGGGGCCGGAGGACGGTCTGGCACAGGTGGGCCTGGTGGCGATGGTGTGGCAAGCGCATGGCCAGACAATTGAAGCAGACGAAGTGCTGTTATAACAACGGCCCAACGAATATGCATTGTGATTTTCTCAGCCTGGCTGTCAGTTATTAGCAAGTGATGGAAATAATTGAGACAGACACTTTTAAAGGTAATATTTGCAAGACATGAACCAGTCTTTATAATTCTTTGACGGGCGATCCATCCCTTTGAGTGCGCGAAGGTGCCACTTGCGTGACTTGCCTACCGAACAAGAATATCAGCTAATAAAAGATCTTGAATTAAAAGATACATTTTCTTACTAAGAATTAATATGATGATATAAGTATTCATAATTTCCTTATTTACAAAGAGCTACGTCACACTTATTAGAAAGGTATAGAAGCTGACCTTGTTTCAAAGGTACGGAGTACCCGTTAGGTATCGCAGAAAAAGTGGGGACCGTTACCTGACTGGCACCTCCGCGCACCCAAAGGTACATATATGTATTAAAACTGCCAACATACCATAAAATCCTACTATAGTGATGGCATGTACTAACCCATGTTATAACTCAATACATATAAAATATCAACTGGCTAGATGTACACTCTCACCCCTGTTTAATCAACCAACCACTCGTAACCCAACAAGGTTAATAGAGGAAAGGGACCCTGCCACCCACGACGCAATTGACAGCGTTGCGTGGAGCGAGGGTTTCCCGACCATGCCACTTTCTACTCAAGGTTGTAGTGGTTAAAGTGGGTCATGGCATGATTATCGTAATCAGCTGTTAGATACGCCGGGGAAGGTTATATCATAATTCTCAACTGCGAAACTACAGGTCCAATAATAACGTGAGCCCTATAACAAGGTGTAAGTAAAGCGCCATCTCTTATTGACACTGAGCTTGTGACCATCTGATAGAGGCCATCGAAATCGCACTACACAGGTCTGCACCTACGGCGCCAACAGTATTCTCCGGACCTGTTGGTGGGTTTACTTGGAAGCCTCAGATCGCCGTCGGCCTTGCCTCTGCCGGCGCATCCTCCACTCCTATAAACTTGCGGATATTCAAGGCTGATGTGCGTTTCGGCGAATATGCCAACCTCGCGGTCGATGAGGATCAAAAGGGAGTAAAGAGAGAAGCAAGGCTGCGCGAACTCCTTGAGCAAGTTGAGGCGGATCCGTCCGTGCTAGACGCTCCGGACACACTGGGTCGAGTGTCTTGGGAGGTTGGCTGCACACTATTTGAGTATCTGTCGTTGCCAGATGATGAAATGGATATCCAAGCAGTACTGAATCTATTGATGCAGACTCGCTCGTGAGTATCGAGATCCGTAACTGATGGCGGAGGACGCTCGGACTGGAGACAACAGCCTTAGAGACTGTGAAGGCGGGTAGTATTGAGGGATTGGGCAGGCTGCCAATTGCAAGTCTGAAGAAAGAGTACAGCAAGGGGTCAAAGCTGTCATCAGACGTCGCAAACAATGCGTCATCTTTGGTGAGCCGCGTGAACAATGATGCCAGTCGCCTACCTTGTGCTTGAAACGTCTGCAAGATGGGACTACATTACAACTTTTCCAAATCCATTATTGTTAGATGTACGAGTGCGACAGTATAGATAATATTGATACTACGCTAAACAACTCACCGTCTACCCAGTTCTTGCGTCCTACCTAAAGCAAGCATCAAGGGATATCTTGCCTCGCCACATTCGCCCCGAATAGTTTGGTAATATTGCTTTCTGATTCCAACGACGAGCACCGTGCGCAGGTTGCACCTATATGACGGTACAAAGGCTTACTTTCGAGCTAAAGCCACATCCACAATTCACTCATTTGCTTCGTGGACACGCATTTTGTTCCGCCGATGCGAGGCAAACAACAGCTCTACATGCACCGCCTACTACGTTCGGCAAAGATGGTACCCGGTAATTGGGCCGTAGCAAAATAAGATATATAATGCTATGACCAATATTTGCGCGTGCCCAACATCATCCAAGTTGAGCCAATCCCATATTAACTCGCCATTGCAGAATCCAGATAATGTCCATCTTCTAAAGCCTCTGATATTGTACCTCCCATTCATCGCCTCCAGCAGATAAAATAGCACCCTATGGACGTCATTTAAGACTTGCCAGGTTCCACTATTTAAATTGGCGTATGGAACTAATTTTTGTTCGAGTTTCACTGCATTTTGTTGGGCTCAGGGTCGTGGCGGCTGCAACAGCCTGCAAATAGATCTCAGGCGGCTGTGTGACACTGTGCAATTCCTCATAAGCAATCTATGCCATATGGGATTTATCAATCGGAACTACCACAGGCGTACCTACCAGGATTCTAGGTCTAGGTAAGAAAACTACGGAGTATGCAATACTAAATCCCATCATCGTCACCCCTTGTATGCCTCACGAGCTGATGTCACTTCTCCATCATGATTATTGCTCTCTTGTGATGCTCAAAAGGATTCTACTGGCCAATCACAAAGTTATATTTCAAAGAGTCGCAGAAATGCGCAAGGCTTCACTACAGGTGTCTGCATCCACCCAGGGTAGATCGATCCAACCACTACCAGAGAACTCATAAGATGGTTATCATCGCGATCTGGACTACACACAATGAAGAGTTGTTTCAATTTTTTCCCCAAAGCCAATCATAATGGCTGTGTTGTCCGGTGAAATTCAGCCGCAGCAAATAGGGGCAGTCTTCCAGGTGGGGAGTTGAATGTAGTACATGGAAGAAATTAACGAGAAGGTATTTAAAACAGAACGTCCCAGAAAACTAGGCAAAGGAAAAAAAATCCGCTCAAGATTGATAGCTCTGGTAACTTGACTCGCAGCAAACAGGCGCCGCTCAGGCAGCACAGCAGCCGAGAAAAAAATAGAATGATCCCGTGTGCCGCTTCCCTGCTGTAACCAAACTACCATCCATTGCCAGAGGCGGAACACGCATGGGAACAGTCATATCGGCAGTTACACAGAATTGTATCGTGCTCATTTGCGGTCCGGACAGGCAAGACGAGGCGGTCAGAAGCCCCTGGCAGACAAGACCACATATTCTTCCGCGTTGGTGATTCAACGTATCCCCTTAAAGCAGTAAAGGCTGCGACGAGGTATCTCTCCACAAGGCCCTGGAATCACCCTAGCACACCTCTGTGATCGAATTTTCGATACTTCTATTCTGGTGGATGTTAAGTGATCATAGGAGTATCAATTAGCAGAACATGCCTGTTGTTCGTAATCCTTGAAAGATACCTCGCTATAGCCTTAGGTTCCTCGTGCTTACCGATGTAGCTTCTGTCGCACAGGAGCATGAAGATTTAGTAGTGTATGCCTATAAACCAGGAGTTTTCATGGCTACAGTTCAGGTTTGAGTCCCAAGAGAGGCGAGATCGATAAAATGCGCTTCATCAAGTTGTGATACTACATCCTTGTGTCATTCAATTCTGAGTTGCTTCTAATCAGCATGGATATTATACAATAAAACAAGTGTCACGGTATTATCTGGAAAACTCGACGACAATTGCCACAGCTTTTAGCGGCCAAGAGTTGTGGTGTTGGAAATACAACAGCCATTTACACGGCGGAAAAGGCCGTTATTGGGGAGGCTTTTGGAGGCCTCAACTGAACGAACTTTATGATATTGACGATGGACGAAGATCTCTGTTGAGCACACTGAAACCTGAAAATTGACACCAGGTGCACGCCCTTTTATACATACCCTGTGAGAGACCCCTGCCGAGACCCTCGATTCGAGCTCTGACTTGAGCCCTATAAAAAGCAACTACTGATTGATCATGACCAACCAGACAGCCTCTAAATATTACAAGACTTGACCTTTTTGACCCAACAAGTGGCTGGGGGCATCGATTTTGCACACCCCACAAAGGACCCAGTGTGGTTCGGTTCGGCCCGAAATACCAAATCTTGCTTAATCTTCACCGTTTATAACCCTCGGGTTAGGCTTGAGGCTGAAACTCCGGCCGCGACGATGCTTAGGGTATAAAAAAGTCTCTTGGGTAGTACGCGGAGGACGCCTTCTCCATGCGCCTCTTTTTGTTTTCTTTTTATTGGATGCCATATCTCTAGTGGAAAGGGAAAAAAACAGAGACTCGATAATTTGTTCTCGACCAGACGAGGCTTCGCAGGTGTCTAATCGATACCATTACCGCCCCTCCCAGAGCTTTCAGCTTTGGGATCGACACCAAGCTGGCACCTAAAAAGCGATGTTCGGAAACTGTCCGACTTGACTGGCAATCATGGGACTGTATGCAGTGTAGCATGACATGTCGCATGCGCTGCTGTATGCTTTTGTGTGTTGGCTTTGAATTGAAAAAGGAGTCTGGTGTTTCATCAAACTGGCAAGCTCCTAAGTGCGTCACTTGGTCATGATATATCCTGGTATCGTTACAGTCAAGCTAGAAGCAATCATGTCTCGAGAGTAAGTCGTGAAAATCCTGCGATCCCCAGTGAGATTCCTATAAAAAAAACCACACGAGACCTACGGGCTTACAGACTAACTCATTGGGGCTGTGAAATCGGATGAAACGCCTCTTCACGCATAATGGAGATCCCTGGGTTGTCCATGGACACAATATCGCAGTCTCCCGTTGCAAAGATATTGGAGTCTGTTGAACGAGCCAAAGCATTCAAGCTCTGCTTACGTCGCATTTGGGCTGTTGCTGGGAGTCTGTCGAAACCTGCCTGTGCTCATACCAGCCGTGGAATGTTTCCAGTCCCTAACCACGAGAATTAGCATCCCAAGCACGAAAAATGTGCCTTCGATCTCTGCGAGCACTCGAGAGTCTATTTCACCTCCGTGCCACAACATCACGAGTGCGGAGCTAACTGCGGTACGCTTCGGTTCCCCTTGGAGATGTGAAGATAGAATGAGATTCACTGCATTCCATCTGGCGTCCAAGAAGGGACATTCCCAGATCGTGCGACTTCTGCTTTCAAAACAAGTGGATTCTAACATTAAGGACTCGGAAAAAAAGACTGCGCTACAGTACGCAGCTGAAGACGGCCACAGAGACATTGTGAAAAAGCTGGTAGAAAACGGGGCTACCATCAGCCACAAAGACCAGAAGAAACAGACAGCGTTGGAATTGGCAGCTTGTAAGGGCCATCTTGAGACGGTTTGCAAATAGCAAGTAGAGCTGGATACCAAGAATAAAGAAGGCCAGACAGGCCAGACAGCGCTACACTTGGCGGCCGAAAAGGGCCATGTATCGGCTGTGAAGGAGCTCCTTAAAAAGAGAGCAAAGGCATCCGTCTCGGGCTCAAGGGAAAACACAGCTTTAGACCTGGCATCTGAAAAGATGCACTCTGATACTCTTCTCATATTGCTCGAGGTCCTCAACAAAGGATTCGATCAGGGAGAGCTTGACAAGGCCCTGCTTTTAGCTGCTGAAAACAAGAGTGAAGATACGGTCGTCAGTCTACTCGAATTTGGGGCCAGGTCAGGGCTTCAAAACTCTGAGAAGATGACAGCCTTGCAAAAGACAATCCAGTGGAGTAACGAACGCATTACCAAACAGATCGTAGATAGTCAGTCCCACCTGGATACTAAAGACAAGCAAAAAGCGCTTCTGATGGCCGCAGGAAAGGGGATGAAGGATGCAGCGGAGGCGCTACTGAAGAAAGGAGCCGCTTTAAACTTAAGAGTCAAAGGGCCGAACAGCGCTACATCTGACAGCAATCATCAGCCACCGGGAAGTCATCATAGTGCTACTTGATCCGCAACGTCAAGATCGACCTGCTGTGAACCTGAACGACTCATTAAACCGAACAGCTTGCACTGGGCGGCCTTCAATGGGCTCAAGGTTGCAACTGAACTCATCCTTGATGAAAAAGCAGACCCCGTCTTGCAAGATGAAAGGGATCAGACGGCTCTTATCTTGGCAGCAGGAGCTGGGCGACTCGGCTTCGTCCAGACGCTTCTCGGGAGAGGAAGCGAACCCAAGACAACTGACAAAAACGAGAATACTGCGCTTCGCCGGGCAACAGCTCGTGGGTATGACAAAGTGGTCCGCGGGCTCCTCAAGTGCATGAAAACTAATGCCTGCGACAAATACAAGCAGGAAGCACTAAAACTGGCTGCGGAAAAGGGCCATTCGTCAATGGTCATGATGCTGCTCGACGGCTTTGCCGATCCAGCCAACTGTAAGTTGGTGATTCCACATGCATTGTTTCTTGCAACTGCCAGTGGACAAGCAACGGCAGTCGACAAACTCCTGGACAGAAATGCCGTTTCAAATTATCGAGACTCGCGAGGCCGGACAGCACTGATCCTGGCGTCCGAACGAGGCTACACTTCCATAGTCCTGAAGCTCCTCGGGGCCGAGGCTAGCCCAAACATCCAAGAATACTCGGGAGGCTCCACAGCATTACATTTTGCAGTCCGAAATGACCATAGATCCATAATAGAGGTTCTTCATCTTGCCGGGGCTGACCTCGACGTCCAAGACCATGCCGGACGGACTGCACTCCTCGTGGCAATGGAGGTAATCGATTCCCGCATTCCCAGCGAGGATCCCTATAAAGTGCATCTCAAGCCGTTTAGAAGAAAATATCTAATATTTCTCGACGCAGAGCGTCGGGTACAAGGCGTGGGCTTGGAATCTTTCTTTATTCTACGTTACTTGCTGTCCTATCGAGCAAGCACACACATCCAGGACATGCTTGGCCAAACAGCGCTGCACTGGGCCGTTAGGCCGAACCTCATCTCACCTCGAAAGACCTGATTTACAGTTGTCGAAATGCGAGTCTAGACGTCCAAGATAAAAAAGGACGCACTCCTTTACTGTTAACAGCCGAGCGAGGACATGTTGGACTGGTAGAACTACTACGTCAAAGCGGCTTTCAGCCGGATGTGCCAGATGAGAACACACAAACAGCGCTCTTGCTGGCAGCGAAGAATGGAGACAATATGTCGGTAATGCTTCTGCTTCACAAAAAGGCTGATGCAAATCTTTCCGACCATTGAGGGGAACGGCTTTGTTGCAAGCGGCGCAAAATGGCCACGAGTCGGTCGTGGCCTCTCTTCTTGCCAATAATGCGAACCCAGATACCCGGGACAATATGGGTCGCACGGTGTTGCTACTAGCAGCAGAAAATGGCAATTCCTCCATTATCGAGAAGCTACTCAACTACAAAGCGAATCCAACAATTGCATATCTCAACGGGAAGAAGGCATGGCAGAAGGCTATAAATCAAGGGCACGCAGCCGTGGCCAATCTCCTTCTTAGTTCCAAACCTGAAACGCAGATTCAAGACATGAAATCTACCAATGAAGCATTGCTATTAGCATCTTGGAAAGTTTGGGTTGATCTGGTCTGCGTACTCCTCAAGAAAAAAGGCCGACGTAACTTTCCAAAGCAGGGAAGGATGGACAGGACTACATATGGCTTCCATGAATGGACATCAAGAGGTTGTGAAGCTCCTGGCTGATAATGGGATTGGCGTGACTATTAAAGACAACAAAGGCTGCACGGCGCTATTCAAAGCCGTCGAGAGCGGATTTGTGTCCATTGTAAGACTCCTAGTCAAGACAGAGGAAGTCTCGGCAGATATCAAGGGGGGGATTAGACAAGAGGCGTTGTTATTTGCGGCTGAAAAGGGCTATACAGAGATGATCAAGATACTTCTTGAGAGCAATGTAGATTGTGACAGCATTGACCCTGTCGGAAGTATGGCAATGTCACTTGCCGCCGCCAATAGAAACACGCCTATAGTTGAGCTGCTGCTGAGGAAAGGGGCAAAGTCAGCCATCGAAGATGGCCATAAAAGGACGGCTCTACATCATGCAGCATGGGGGGCCTTTGCGAATTTGGTGAAGCTTCTGCTCGATAATCGAGCCAGCTTCACCGCTCTTGACAAGCGCAGGCAGTCAGCACTGCATTTGGCGGCGGAACGGGGCGCGAGAAGAGAGCAAATGCCAACGTGAAGTCTGACGACGGTCAGACAGCTTTACACCGTGCTGCTTGGGGTGGCTCTCTCGAATTAGTGACATTACTGCGCAAGAATGGTGCTGATCCGTCCCTTCGTGGTAAGAGTGGCAATAAGCCGTGGAAGGTAGCTGCCGAGAAGGGCCATGAATTGATAGTCAAGGTGCTTCTGGGTGAGGAGCACAGCCTCAAAGAAGAATGCATTTTGGAAGAAAAGGCATTAATATCTGCGCCTCGGATGGGCTATTCAATCGTAGCCGCCTCGTTATTGGAAAGGGGTATTGAGACAGCCGTCAGGGATAAGGAGGGGCGTACACCGCTACATTTGGCCACGGAGCGTGGCGACAAGAAGCTTGTCGCCCTGTTGACGAAAAACGGGAGGCATCGCTCGACATGCTGGATAAAGGGCGGCGGACGGCCCCCCGCCTAGGCGTCCAGAACGGCCATGTGGCAGTGGTCGAGGAGCTGCTTGAAAAGGGGGCAGATGCCAATATCCAAGGCGAGAATGGACGGACTGCACTACACTTGGCGGCCCAGAATGGCAACTTGGAAATCGTTCAGATACTGGTTAAAGACAAAGCAGATCCGCATGTTCGCGATGTAGAAAGAAGAAAAGCTTGGCCTCTCGCCGCCGAGGCGGGCTATAACCAGATCGTTCGGCTGCGGCTAAAACAGGAGGTCGACCTGCATTCCCAGGGCCAAAACAGGGAGGAATTATTCCTGCAGATGGCGAAACGGGGTTCTTTGCCCATGGTGCAGCTGCTCCTCAAAAAAAGTTGTTTATAAGGACGGTCAAGATACATCGGGAAAGACTACAGTCCGCTTGGCTGCTAAGAATGCTCAAGAGGAGGTAGTCAGGCTACTATTGTGGAAGGGTGCAGACCTGGGCATTCCAGACTCAAGGGGCCAAACACCATTGTTGTGGGCTGCAAGAACCGGGAGCAACAAATATGTCAGCTTGTTCCTTGAGATCATCTCTAGCGAGCCCCAGAAGGAGACTCAGAATGGACCTTTTGATGATGCTGATAGCGTGTCCTCTGGCGAGGCTGGTGAGGCGTCCCTCAAAACCTCCTCCAGCATAGATTGGAAAGAATCCCCCATCGAAGCTGCCGTGGTTGACGGTTCAGCAACAGTCCAGGCGAAGAAGCAGATTACCAACAAGGAAGCGATAAACCACAACGACTACAAGGGTCGGACAGCACTGCTAATAGCCATCGAGAGGAATCATGACAGTGCTGCGAAGCTGCTGCTCAACAGAGGCTCCCCGGATATCGACATACGGGGCTTAATGCGCAAGAGCGCACTGCATCTGGCAGCAGAGAAGAACAATAGTACTTTGGTGAAAATGATGTTAGAGAGAGGGGCTGAACAAACTCTCCAAGATTCGCTTTGACGGACGGCGTTATTCGTAGCCGCTGAAAAGAATAGCAACGACGCAGTCAAGACACTTCTAGAGCTCGGGTCAGGCTCTCAAGATATGCAGAATTCGCTAAAGCGGACTTCTTTACATCTGGCAGCGGAGAAAGCGAACAAGCCAATTGTCGAAATGCTACTCAAGATTGGAGCTGAGGTAAACATCCAGGACTGGATGGGTAGAGCGGCGCTTCTATTGGCGGCCGAGAATGGCGATGGGCAAATCGTTGATCTTCTGCTGAACAAAGGTGCCCAGCAACAACTCGAAGACTCGACGGGACGAGCTCCTCTACTCATGGACGTTGCACATGGAGACAAGGTCGTGGTGAAGCGGCTTCTAGCAGACATTAATGCCAACTTGAGAGTTACAGACTCAAAGGGCCGAAATTTGCTAAGTCTGGCTGTTCTCAGCGGAAGCAAAGGTGTGGTATGGTTGCTACCGGAGACAAAGGTTGGTACCAACCGGTTGGCAAAAGGCTCTGGCTAATAAAAGATGATGCATGAGGCATCGTGACCGAGAGAAAGAAGGGATTTTAGAGGGTGAAAGAACACACGACCTCTATTGAGAAGCAAGATGCCAATCAAGCGTAGGTATGTAGGTAAATGTGTAGAAAAGTGCGTGGCACGTGGCTTCACGTGATGTAGACCCTAACATGACGGACAGGACAAACCGTCCTTACCTTCTAGCCATCCTAGGGGTCGGTAGTCGGCACTTTACCACGATGTTACGCGGGGTCATCAGGAGATTGTCCCTCCAGATGTCTTTCAAAGCTTTAATGTTATTTATTTCCATACATGTGCTTTTCGGCCAACTTGAAGGTTGGAATTTTCTTAAGATCGGGAATGAGATGAATAGAGTAACAGTGACAGAAAATAAAATATAAAAATAGAATAGAATGAAATAAAACAAAGTCCTGCCCCTGTCCACAGGAGAATGCATACCACCCGACCATTGCTCGCCTACCTGACCTGACCCGACCATTGTAATTGACCTGACCTGACCACTGGTCTTACCTAATTCGTCATTCATATCCCTTGGCTAACACTGATGTCTAACCCTAACCCTGATGCTTAACCTAACTAACCCTAACCGCTAAACCCCTTGGGGGTATCCACTATAAGCTCCACTATAGCTCCACTATATTTCACCCAAAATAGTAATAGCAATGGTCAGGTCAGGTCAATTACAATGGTCGGGTCAGGTGAGCAATGGTCGGGTCATCTACACTCTCCTCACACTGTGGCGTTTTGTGCCTTGGCCGTCGAAGCGCGGCTACCAGCTGCCCGAAATGCCCTTTTCCAAAACTTCCTGTGCTGCTTATACTTCATGTGCTCTCTACTGTACCGCAGGCCGCCGGGGAAAAAAGTCATCAACAGCGCCAAACCGGCCCTCGGGATGTCCTTTTCAAGCTCTATCAAAGCCCCCATGACCTTTGCAATTTCGTCTTTTTGCAGAGGCGCCAACCAGTCCGTGGACGGGTCGCTTACGTCGTCATCGGATTCTCCGCCGTCATCGACTTGTTTCCGGGTTGCGACAATGGTGGAACGGGGTTGGCGTCGAGTCATGTGGAAACTGGACGTCCCTGCTTTGCGGTGGCTGCCGACCGCGTAGAGATTTTGCACCATGCCGATTCCTCCCACGCCAACAAGAAACCAACTGTGTTGCCTGAGACCCGAGGCGCTTATCAAGAGAGCAGTCCACAGAATGGCCGATATCACGGTGACAAGGACGGTCACCTCGGCACTTTTGACTTGGCCCCGGCCAGCGACTCGACATCCCAGGCGCCCGGACAGCCTACCATGACCATGACGTGAGAGCTTCCGTTGCCCGTCGTCAGACAAGTGACCTTTGTCTTATTGCCTCCCAGAGGCCGGCCGGCCCATTTCTCCGTTTGCCACTGTGGCAGGACGCCAGTCACCAGCGCTAGGATGCTACCGCAGATGGTGATGAGGAAGATGCCCTAGTTATCCCAGACGATCCAGGGAACGACAGAGAGAACAATCTGAACAGCCACGGCGACCCATCCCAGCATCCAAACAGCATCGACGTCTGCTCTGCGGATGGGCTGCAGGTCGAAAATATCGATGCGGAGGGAGACTATGGCCGGGTCGACCTCATGGGCGGATTCGTGATCGCGTAATATCCGGCCCAGCATCCACGACTTGTTGCTTGTGACAGTTCTATTCTCGCCATTGATAACAATGCAGGGGAAGTCGGGCGTCGGCATCAGCTGATGGTCGCCCACCGCCGACATGAGCGACACGAAGGCATAAGCGACTCAACCAAACGAAAAGGCCACGGGAGTGATGCCAAATCGAAGCCCCTTGTCAGTCAGCTTGAAAGACCCTCCGACGAGCTGTGCGATGGCCTTCTGGACAATATCGCCGCCGATGAGCAATAAAAGAGAAAAGATGTCGCCCGGGTTGGTCCACTGGCTGCGCAATTACTCAGCCGCGTCTTGAGGTGCTGCGCTCGGCTCCATTGCGAGCTGGCGCAAAGCGTGAAATCGCAGTTCGGTAGTGGTTTTCTTTAGTTCTTTTGGCGTTTGGCGTTTGGTAGGGTTATACGCATGTCAAAGAACAACCACAAATTGGCTTTTCTTTTGTCCTTGTATTTTCCCCCCGGCTGCGCGGGCCAGGACGGCAGTGACGCAAAAAGAAGAGGCTCTGTGCTATTGATGTGACAAGACGCAGGGTCCCGGCTAAGCCGAACCTGCAGTCGCGAAATAATAAGCCCGCACGTGGCTCTTACTCTCAATACAATTATAAAATGAAGCCGCCACAGCTGACGTAACCACATACCCATTTGTTCATCTACCGTAAGATTCCATCGTCGTATAATGTATACGCTAATTTGCACGTCTATCACACAAGGTTCCGCGACATCTGCAACAACGTCAACGTCATGGCGATAATGAGCTTGCAGAGAGCCAAAATGTTTACTGCTTTCCTCGCCGCTCCAATCCAAGACACGGCGTACTTGAATGTCAAAAATGTCAAGTTATCATGTCTCTGGGAAGGCTGATCAGTGATGGAGACCTACGGTTAGCATAAGCCAAAGAGGTCTTGGTGCGGGCCGAGCCGCAAGTGGAACGGAGATAAAGGTGGAGCTGCCGTGGAGCGGCGGCATCAACGGGTCTGGTTGCAATGTTAATGCCCGCGAGTCTTAACAGGTGGTTACTGGGAAGTTTATTAAGGGCTGAGAGAACGAACCCCACCCTCCGTCGTAGTATTAACCGCAAAGTCGGCTCTCTTCCATCTCCCATCGCCATTTCCCTTCTTCTGCTAACAGAGTCTGCGTAACGAGAAGTACTTGGATATCGTGCGAGCGTATATCTGATTATTCTTGAGAACATGCTCTGATTGCACAGTTAATACCCCCTTATATTCCGTTTATCCACGTTTAATCCATTACGCCCTAATCAATAAGGATATGGCCTCCGCGGACGCCAATCAAGAGGAAGGATGCATTGCGACAACGCTTCTAAACTATCAGAAGAACAGAAGGTTGTCGTACGGCAGGGGGGTAAGATCCATCAAGCGTAACTGAAGACCTAACTTCCAAGAGCATTAGTCGACTCATTACACTCTCTCCAGAACCTGGGACACACCATGTATGAAACGTTAGAATCATGCCAGCTCATGGTGCAGGTGACTGATGTGAGGATATGATGGCCGTTGCTATCTATTGCCGCCGCCGCGGGCTTCGCAGAAGCACAGGAATATAGTTTTGTTCGTGCCTGTTAAGGGCTTTTAGTGTTAAGTACTGTCCTTTCCTCACGTCTTCATGCCAAGAAAGTCATAATACAGAACAAGGTGTCTCTGATCCGGCGAGAAATCGCGGTTGCAAATGAGGGTATAGGGTAGGCGTTTCCCGAGGTCAAGGAATGTCGTTTTGTTAGATAAAGGCTCGTTTATTCAATAAACTGCAGAATCAAATGAAACAATGGAGAAACTTTGAGACTTTCGGTTCTACCAGTGGGCTATGCTTAAATGAATTCTATCGCCACATAATGCGTAAGCCACATAGACCCTGTCAGGGTGTATTGGAGAACTGCCAGCAAGCAACCAGTTTATTTTGAATACCCTCGGATTGCGCCATCTTTTAGACTGTGCTATCATCTCATAGAAAGCTATATTATAGATTGCAAGCTCTTCGCCTTTGAGCAAACTACGACCAGCTTTTAGGATCGATCTTCAGCATCAAAATGTTCCGGCCAAGGCGTGCGGAAGTGATAAGTGGCGCCTACGTCGGGAGGTCTCCTGCATCTCGTCTGGCGTCAGCTTGACTTTCAAAACCCGAGCATATTCGTCTAGCCTCTGTGGTTTGGAAGTGGTGGTGACGGCAACAATATTATTCTGCATCACCCAGGCGAGAAGTACAACGACCTCAGTCGTGTCATGTGCCTTTGCTACACGGGCCAAAGGCTCTCGCAAGGGCCCGTTAGGACAGCAGAATGCGGGCGCCAGTCCCTTGAACGATCCGACTGGGATGTCATTCTGGCACAACCACGGGACCTACTCGTTTGCGCGCTGAAGTATGGGTGATACTTGAAAGCCGGCGGGTCAGAAGCTCCTTCGAGTGTCGCTTCGACATGGTGGCGCAGGTAATTGCTGACGCCGATTGACTTCACCTTGCCTGCCTTCTTTAGTTCCTCCATGGATTTCCACGCCCGTTGAAAGTCGGCATCCTTCTTGGCAAAGAAGGGGATATGAACCTGTCAGAATGGGTCACTTGTTACGGGTACAAATTACATACGCATAATCAGATAAGGGCAAACCCTTAACCACGAGTAAATAACCCTAATAATAAGCGCACTTATAAAAAGAGCGTATACGATTCTCTCTTTTATAGCTAGAGATAAACTTATATATATATATTATTATTATAATTAATGCTCTTTAAAGTGTAATAGTTATAAGCTTAAAAGGACTTTAAATCTCTTATAACTTTTACTTAAGAAAACTAAGTATTTAAGGTATTATTTTAATACTTATTTCATTATATTCACGTATTTAATAGATATTAATATTACTTTTATAAACACTTAATTATTTACTAAGCTTAAGTTAAAGCTTTTAAGCTAATAATATAATTAATATAAAGTATTAAAGGGTTAAGCTTAAGCTAATAAGCTTTAAAATATTATAAACCTTAATTAATTGAATTACCTAGCTAATACGTTACCTACTTCCCTTTAGCTTACTTTAATAAAGGCTTATATAAGCCTACTATTAGATTAATAACTCTTACTTAAGGTAAAGAATAACTTTATTATATTATATACTCTTTAAGCTATATAACTATAATATAATAATAAGCTTAAAGCTTACGTAAGTAAAGAGATTAAAGCACGTAATATTTATAAGT